ATCACTGCTCCCTGTATTAGAACACTATATAGAACATTGTTATAGAGTACAGGAATGTTCCCTAATCTCTGTTCCATATGTTAGAACACTATTATAGAGAACAGCAATGGTCCCTAATCACTATTCCCTGTATTACAACACAATATAGAGAACACTATTATAGAGAATAGGAGTGGTGTCTAATCACTGTTCCCTACATTAGAACACTATTATAGAGAACAAATGGTCTTGAATCACTATTCTCTACATTAAAACACTATGATAGAGAACAGAAATAGTCCCTAATTACTATTCCCTACATTAGAACACTATTATGGAGAACACAAATGGTCTCGAATCACCATTCCTTACATTGGAGCACCGTTATAGAGAACAGAAATGGTCCCTAATCACTGTTCCCTACATTAGAACACTATTATAGAGAACAGAAATGGTCCCTAATTACTGTTCCCTACATTAGAACACCATTATAGAGATCAGAAATGGTCTCTGATCACTATTCTTGCAGTGTACTGAGGGATTGTAAGAGTGATATTCTGTACTGTGTTTGGAGTTTGAAATAAGATGCTGTATAGTGATCACAGCAGTGTTTCGGGTGTAGCCTGGGTGTATTGATAAAAAAAAAAAAAACAATACAGATGGTGGATTTTTTTCTTTTTTCATAGCTGCACAGGATGCAAATCAGCTTGGTGTGTCAGTATTGCACTTGAATCTCCCTGAGTAGAAATGCGTGTGTTATAAATTAAGGCCATAGTTCTGTCGAGGTTCGTCATATCTGCCATTTCCACATGTCCGGTCTTGTGCTCTGCATGTTTTGCCAGAACTTCCAGCTCTGCCACTGCCTTGAGCTCTTATGTCACAACTTAGGATGAAGAACCAGTGGGATCCACCAACAGGCTTCATGTTGACTGATTGTTAGTCAGATTGTTTGTTTAAATATTATTGAAATGTGAATTTTGTGATGGCAAATCTCATGGAAAAATTGCGCAATTTGTGATTTACTTGTTGTAGTTTGTGTTGTGGCAAATGGGGTGGACGACATGATTAAAGGAGCACTATACGATTCTGAAGGATGATTGTTGATATTTGAACTCGACAGCAAAACAAACACATCCCTCCCTTCACTGCTCCTTTGAAAACTCCGCCCTCAAACTCATGTCGAGGCCAACACACTTGTTTAGATCTTTGTGGCCATAAAACCATTCGCAGACGTTGCACAGATGAATCCCGTGATACAACGTTAGAGTGAACAGTCACACAGTAAGTAATGTAACAGTTGCCGCTGTGATGCCAACCAGCTGCTATCACGAACATTCGTAAACAGGACAAACCAATACTTAGCTGTTGATTGTATGAAACAGCAAAAATGAGAACATTACCCTGTCCAGCAGGAGCGACCTCCTCATCCCTTTTCATGCATTTCAGCTCTCAAATTGTGCACACACTCTGTGTGGGTGGTCACTGTCTGGGGAGGGCAAAACAAAGCGTGGGGAGGGCCGACGTTTTCACAGGGCGGGTCTAACAAGCATGCACAGCCAGACTGACTATGAAAACAAAAAAACACAGAAGCTCAGATTACCGCACACACTGAAGTGGCGGGACTTCATTCTCTGCTCAGGATACCATTGCTCTGCTATATCTTTACATAGAAAACAGTTGCTTGCTGCTATGTTAATGTTTAAAATGTTGTATATATCACCTTTAAAAATATATCATAATACTTCAAAAACCTTCATGATGCACAGTAAGAAGCACAATATTTAATTTGATACTTTTCGCATATTGAGCTTTGTGCTGCTAATTAAGCTCTCGGTGTGACGAAACTTGCAGTTGGTTAGTGTTTGATATCCATGATGTGCTCATAGAAACAAATTGTGATGTAATTTAATAATATAACGACAAAGTGGTGAAGTACGTGTCCTATGAAAACCATAAGCATATTCATATGACTTGCAGGGAGGCTCTAATTGAGTAGTGTAGTATATAATGAAGTTTCAAGTTTGTCATTTGCACAACATGTCAGGACAGTCATGCATTGAAGTGCTTGTGGTGAGGCTCAGATAATCACTCTACGGCAGGGCAGCATTAAATACATAGTAAAAACAGTGCAGACTAAAAGTAAAAATACAAAAAGAAAATAGTGAAACTGAAATATATTAAATATACACAAAATATACACAACATACAGAGACAGGAGACTCTGCTATGTACAAATTAATCAAACAAGGGATAATCTGAGAAGAATATGTACATTTTAAAGTGACTAAAAATTGCAAAATGGTACTTGAGACACTTTTTTGGACTGTGATTATATAATAAAAGAACATTGTTATAATGTCTCTTATAAAAGGCGTGTTTTATCTGTCGATCTAGGTGGGCTCTTTGTGTTGTGGCAAATAGGGGTGGTTGCCCTCTGCTGTTCAATGCCCCCTGGGTGCCCCCTGGTAATGTTAACCTTTGCCTTTACTGATAAGGGTCAAAATCTGATGATGCCAGAGATGATGATGTCAGGCCATGGCTTTAATTAGCTGAGATGAAGTAATTAAAGCTCATGCCGGTTATTGATTGAACGGACCTGCAGGGAACGCTGACGTGTCCTTGCGTATCTTCATTCACCTGGGTTTATTCTGTATGTGAGTTTATTAATGAGGAATCTGATTTACTTTGAATCTGGGCCTGAGGGGTCTCAGTGAAGTCTGTATAGAGTGCCCTGCTTTTGATTTATGAGCCCCCCTCCGTTCCCATTTCCTGAAATTCTGGTTTAGGTACGGGAGGTAAATTAAGAGCCAAGAGCACTGCCTGTGTTTGTTTATTAATTTGCTTTTGCCCTACCGGGGATCGTTTCGGCTCGGCGTAACAAGAGTGGTGCTTGCAAATATGTTGCCATGGCGATGCCTGGCTCACTCTGTGCCGTTCCTGAAGTATGCCTTCACAGGGAGAGAGAGGGATGGATGGATGGATGAATCATTGACCGGAAGAACAAGTTTTTTTTTTCCCCAATGCTGAATATTGAAGCTTAGTGATCTGATATTTTTTTCTTTAAAAAGCTTTAAAATTGATCTGTTTTTAATTGAAAGACTTCATTTCAGATTAGTAGGCTGTCATGACGAAAGACGTCAATCACGGAAAGAACTGTATCACAGTAGAGTGAGGTCAATTTCAGGATTGATTCGTTACCGATCTGGATCACATTCATTGTTTTTCCCCCCTCAGATATCTGATCTAGCATTTTCTGCTGATATCGGCTGATACCTGGTATTGCATCGGTTATTTAAAGAGTAACGGCACTGCCCTAGTTTCAGAGAACTCCACCCCTTTGTTCAGCTTTGAAATTGGCTTAGAAATGAGAGGGACACTTTGGACCGTTTGGGAGGGGAAGAGGTTGGACGCTACAACACAAAAAACTTAGAAGGAGAAAGTCTTACTGCTCCTTCTCAATCATCTGAAAGCTGCACTATGTAAGCTTTTTGAAAGCAGTAGCTTTACTGGATCAGGAGGAAAAAACAGGCTAAAATATGGTGAGCGTGCGCTGCTGTGAGTCACCCTGTAAAACCTGAAATAATAATTTAAAAGTCAAAAGCGCTGTGTCGGATTTTGCAGTTTTTTAGACCACGTCATACGTCAGACCATATTAACGTCACGCGCACAGGCCCAACAAGAAGGTCCTGCTCGATGTTTAGGTCTCAAAGTCAACATTATACTGATGAAGATTTGATTACAGTATTAGATAATTTAAATTCTCCTTCATCTCACTCAAATATTAGATTTGTCCACTCGCAAAAGGGGTTTGGAGCACAAGTACTTATGTGCAATTACACATTTCCACCAGAGAGGTCTCCAAATCCCCAAAACATACATAGCGTAGCTTTAATTTAACTGTGACCCATATGTAGCCTGTTAACACGACTACAGTAGTGCTGATGATGCACAGTCCGGCCTTTCTGTTAATCTCAACACACGAACACAAAGAGACAGAAGAAGAGGGAGAAACAAGCAGAATGAAACGGGGAGGGATGAATATAATGGGTGGGATTATTTTAGCATGGAGATAGATCTGAACTCATCTTGTGTTGATGTCAGGTAAATCCAGTGTGGGGAAGCACTTACATCATTGTTCACTTGGTGCTGATATAACCCTGAAAACCCCATAAATGGGCTAGCAGAAATTCACATTACTGCAGCTGTGTTTTTTTTTCTGATATAAACAGAGGAAACAGGTGAAAATACATATTAGGTTGTTTCATTTTTCATGAATTATTTGTGATTTGGTGTGCCAGTAGGAGAGTAACAACAACAAGGCTGATGTCATTTATTATTATAAAGCTGTATATGCTTATATGTGGAAAAACATGGCTTTGGGGTGTATTTACTCTCTTTTTTTTTCCTCACTAATTTAGTTATTTTAATTTGAATGTAGCAGTTCTGCTATTGATATTTGTACAAGAAAGCACTAAAATAACAGTTTTGGGCATATATTTCATTTTTATTTGTCTTTTATTTTTGATGAGTAAAACAACCAAAAACATGAAACTGGCTACAAAAATGAGCTACAACATCTGTAGCAGTCCAGAGCTTTTTATTGAAGAAGGGCAGAAATTGAACTGGAAAACTGAAAAGTCCATCAGTCTAGTACTAAGAGCTGAGTGCTGAGTTCATCTGTTCTCTGATAAAGAAATTAAATGTGTTCTGATTTGGTTATAGTTATTACACAAACTAGTATATTGAAAAGCAGAACTTTTCTAGGAATGTGAGTCACTTTGCCAAAAATTTTAAGTGCGTTTTCACAGCTTGCTTGAAAGAGTCGTAAGGTTGAGTATTTTAATTTGATGCCAGTGGCGCCTCAAGACTTCCTGATATTCAAGGCTGTCTTGACAGTGATGACCAAATATTCAGCCTTTTGTGTATAATTCCCCCCAGTGTACATATTTGCTTGACTGAGTGATTTGTGTGGGTTTTCAGTGGATGAGGTCTGTAACCTTACGTGCTTTCTGTCCTCACAGAAGTCTTCATGGCTGTTGAGGAGGAGGTTTCTGTGGAGCCAGAGACCACCGCTGTTGCTGTTCCTGAAGAGCCAACAGAGTCTCCATCAGGTAGATATCTCTTACCTCTTTCTGTCCCATGGAGTGCCCATCACTGCTTTAGATCTGCTGAAAAGTTTAGTTCCAGCTGTAATGTTTAATTCCTGATGTGGAGCAAGCTACACGGCCCAACTAACGTTTTGGGGCACATTGATTTCTGGTGAAATTAAAATTTTCTCAGCGTTACTTTTCAGTTAAGTACTAAAAAACACTTGCGCATGATCTGTAATATAAAACAGCTGTTTACTAGTCCTTTGTCTGTTCAGGGACTAAACTCTATAGGCAGGTAGACCTCTGATGGATTCTGCTGAGCTCTTCCACTCTCATTCAAGCGTGCTGTGTAATGCCCTTGATAATAGTGTGTTTACTGCTTCTTAACCTCTGATTCTCCAGGGTATATTTTGGTTTTTCCATCTGAATTTACACAACCAAATCGTAAGGCAAATTATTCAGTAACTGCATGAAATTAAATGTAAATGTTTATTTTATTTATTTATTTTGTTTATTTAGCCAAAAATCTTAGACGCTCTTTGTATTTTATAAAAATAATTTTTACAGAGCAGATCACTGAAGAGACGCCATCTGTTTATAGTTTATAGCCCAGATTTGTGGAAAAATGGGTCGACTTTCAGTAGACAAAAAATTGTGAGTTCAGCTTCTTTTATTATAAGGGTTTAAAATGACATCACCCATCTATTTGACTGGAAAGAAGACAGTTACGGCTCTCATATGACATCCAGCTTTTGAATGTAGCTTATGAAATATGAAAGTTATGAAGAATATGACACAGTGTGTTTCGGAACCACCGGTGGTCTCAAGGAGTTCAAAAGTTTAAAGTTGTTGCAACATTTTAACTTAAACAGTTTTCATAGTGCTTTCACATTGTTTTTGGGTAGATACTAAAGCCTGACCTAATGTCACCCCATTTTCAGTAAAGTTTTTGCTGATACTTAAAACTGCAGGTTGTCAATGTTGGTAAAAGTAATACTGATAATGTGCCGGTTATGAGCCGCATGTTTTGGTCGTGGCATTGCCAGGATTCGCACTCACCGTTTCAGCTCGGTGTGAGTTATCACCCCTAAAGTACCTCACAGTAATACAGGCTGAACTGATACATTTGCACATAAAATACCATCATGGTGAAAAAAACTAAATCTTTGTAAATTATATCCCAACCCAACTTGTAGTATGTAGAAAAGTTGAATATGAAAGATGAAAGGCAATTAACAGAAACCAGTAAATACTGTGTAGATCCATCCCAGACTGAGCTTCTCTCTCTGATTATTAAAGAGTGTAAGAAGTGTGAAAATTGAAAACTGACAGCCATATCAGTCAGCATAGCACTGGGTATGTAAAATAATTGTAGTGCAAAATTAAAATCTGAAGTTTGAAAATAAATGAGACAGTATTATCTGAATTGTTATCCCCTTAAATTTGGTATTGGCCACAGATTTTTCCTCTCAGTCAAGCCCTACTGTGTGCAGTATAGTACCAAAGTTGGGACACACCTGTTTGAATGTATGCTTTTCATAATATTGAAGACATGTATAAAGGCTTATGCTTAAATGTTTGGGATTTGTTTCCAAGTTCGATATAGGTTTTGAAGTTGATGTCTGTCTGTAAATGAGTTCCAAGATAAAAATTGAACTGCTGTACCACCAAGAAGTTATCATCAGCTAACAAGGCTGCTCACGGGGCTGCTGAGAGTGCATGATGTTGCATCAAAGCAGAGTTAGGAATGCTTTCATTTTACAATATGTTTATTTTATTATTATTATTTTTTTTATACTTTTTTTGGTCACTGCATGATCTCATGTGTTGGTTTATAATTCTGATGTCATCTGCTCTAAAATATGGGGAAAAATACTAAAAATAAAGAAACTCACAAGATAGTAATAAACAAAAATAAACAAGATAATAATAAACAATAAGAGAAAGGGAGCAACAGACAGCAAAAACAAAGATGAAGTAAGAGACATGAAGAGTAAAAGTGATCATAGGTACAGTCATCACAGACGAAATCAATAGGAGGAAGTGTCTGTGTTCAATGCAACCCTTGCAGAAAATCCAAAATACGCAACACAAGTTTGCCGTGTTTCAACAGTCATGTGTTTAGCATGGTTAAGTCACACAGCAGTACGTTCAAGTTCTGCTATATTAAGTAAATTAACAGCCCAGAATGATTCCAAGTGAAGTCCAGGTGTGATCCAGTTTTGTAGGATTGTCTTTTTAACAGCAGGAAATTCAGAAAACGATAGTTCACTCTGTATAACTTTTAACCCCATATTGGAGTCGTCATTGCGGAGACAAACATGGGTCATAAAATAAAGAAGAAACTCTGAGTAGAGGTCTCCAAACTTTTGAATGGTACTCTATGTGTAATCACCATGGCCTTGAACCAAATTGAACTGAATGAGGAATGAATTCAGATTGAATTGTAAATTCTTTAATTCTCTGTACCCTTTTCAGCTGTTGAGGCCGCCCAGGAGATCCAGGTGACGGTGACTTTGACAGAGGGTCCTTCGTCTCCCCAGCACTCGTCAGCTTTATCGGCCGTTTCTCCGCTCTCCTCCCAGAGTTCCACGGCTGTGGTGGAGCGTGATGACGAGGGATCGCATGATGCCATCACGACAAGGGAAACGGGGAAGGGGGAAGAGAACGCTCAGCTACCCGAGCCTGAGGAGCCAGAACCCAGCATGGACGCTCCAAAGGCTCTTTTCGCTTCGCCTACCAAAGAAACCTGCCCTGAGCTTTCTCTTTCCCCTTCTCCGTCCCCAGCAGCCCGGGCGGAGCCCATGGACACGTGTCCGTCAGCACCAGAGGCTTCAGAGGAAGCTGTGGAGGAGAATGTTGGTGAATCAGTGGTTCCACACTCGGTGGAGGATAATATCGGTCCGGAGCTGCAGGAGCGTCCTCGACCAGAGGAGGAAGAGGAAGAAGTTGTATCCGAGCCACCTTCCGCTTTACCCGAGGAGGGCAGCGTCCCGCCAGCCTCGGAGAGAAGCCCCACTCTGGAGATGGACACCACGCCAGCCAGCGAGTTAAGCTTCTCTGGCTTTAGCTCTCCGGCTGGTGAGGAAAAGAGTTTAGGCTTAAAACGCTCGCCAGGATTGTCCCCTGATGGCTCAGGCAAGCTGTCCCAGTCCCCCTTCTCCACAGAGGCTTCTCCCAGAGAGACGCCCACGCATGCTCAGAATCAGCCTGGCTACGGCCCTCCGGTGCCCCCTGTTGCCTTCTTTACTCTAACCCCCAAAATAGGTATGGGCAAGCCAGCCATCTCCAAAAGGAAGTTTTCTCCAGCAAGACCTCGAGTGAAGCAGGTAAGGGCTGAGTTATACTCCTCCGCCTCAGAATATGTGAACATGGTGTCGTTTGCATAGCTGGGTGTCTGCCAACGTACTTGTACATGACGTTAATGTGTACTGAACCAGAATATTAAGGAAATGAAGAAGAAACGTCTTCCCTGGGAGAAGTCTTAAATTGTGTTGCGCTAGAGATGTTTCGAATGTTTGAGTAGAGGTTGTATGAATGCCTATACACTGCTGAAGTCGTGCTGGTGTCAGGAACTCCAGGGATATCATCAGAATCTCTAAATTACAAGGTCATTTAGCAGTTAAAATACACAAATCCATGCTATAAGAAAGCTAACACTCCTGCGCACTGAAATGACGTGACATAAAAGTGAAGTTAATGAAACGAAGTAATGAAGACAAAAGGAAATCGCTGAACATGCTGTTGTAAATATAATTTAGATCATAATAATTACTTAGTTTTTTTATACCATTCATGTGGGCTGATCACTGTCAGGAGGAGGCCTTAAACAAACGACACAGTGATGTGGAGTTCTGTTTAACAAACGGTGCGCACAGTACATACTCAAACAACCGCCATGGTTTTGGCCAAAAGGATGTTGATTTTGCTTCAAAACATGCAAAGAATGTGCTTAAGTCTGTTAATAAACTCCAACACCAGCTACTAGGTTTGCAACATCTTGCCGCATGACAACTTTTCAGTGTTGCTCGCCGGAGCGGGTGGAAAATCTGACCCCTTCAGGCAGGAGCGGGCCGAAGCACGCGTGAAGAGAAATAATGAATAACCTAAATAAAGTAGAACATCACAGATCACGTGACCTACACACACATTCTTCCTCCCAGAGCAAATCAGCTCAAAACAAACGGGCATTAACGTCACCTAGTAAATAGAGAGTTAACAGTGACTGTGATGTAAACAACAGTAACAGAGCCATCAGAACAGTGTAGTTAAGAGCCAATAGAGCAAACAAACAATGTAAACGAACAAGTCAGCATTTACTAAAAAACAGAGCAGCACAACCACCGCCAGCCAAAACAAGTGAGCCGAGAGGCTGCTGAACGAAGTCCCGCCCCCTCTTGGTCCGATCGGGATCTCTTGATTGGTCAGAAGGAGACAGCGTGACACATCGATCCACCTATAAGTGTATATAGGTAAAACAGAGAGAGAGTAGTTTAGTTCCTGCTTTGTGTTTACTGGGAATAAACAGTGTTTGAAGTTACTTCCCAGTGAGCCTGATGACCATGACTGCTGTTATTTCAGCAGAGGATAATATATTTGTGATTAGACTGTGTCAGATATTGGATGTCGGTTTGCTTTGATGGAACTGCGCGGGTGGGAGCGGGACAAAGCGTTTTGGTTGCAGTCAGGAGCAATGATTCCGATTTCCTGCGGGATGAAATCTGGCAAGAGCCGGACTGAAAAGACAGTCCCGCCCAGACCTTTACTGTAGGGTACTACTGACAAAGTCTGTTCAGTGCACAACTGTGTTAGCTTTCATGTAGCAATATTCATATTTTGGCTCTTAAATGGCCTCGTAATTTTGAGGATCTGATGATATTCGGGGGGAAAATGTGTGTACAGCTTTTTTTTGGTTCATTTTTCTCATAGAGAAGCTTAGACCTGGAGTTCACAGTGACGACACCACTTCGGTCCTCAGAATGTTTCCTGTTTAGCTCTGTTTTTGGGGCTTGTTCCAGGCCTTGTTCCATCCCCAGTGCTTCTCTGCTCAGCCAGTCGGCGCTGTACAGCTCTGTGGATTCACTCGACGAGTAGTTGGTTTGGGAGGTTCTCTGTTCTCTGCATCTCTACACAAATACGCTGCCGCACACCTTCGTGGAAGTATAAATCAGCCTTGAGCCGATGCCGTTGGCCCTTGTGCCTCGAGCCCCGGCTCTGGCTCCGTTCCCCAGGGCGGCTGGTTCTTAGGGAGCCGCGTTCCTCTGTCTGATCCACGTTTGCAGCCGTGCAGTAATTATTCCCTTTTTGCTGTTGCACAGTCACATTGATTAGTGTCAGAGTGGAGGGTGTATTAATTAATGTGGAAAGGCTCTTGCTGTTCTCTAGCTCTCTCTCTCTCGCTCTCTCTCTCTCTCTCTCTCTCGCTCTCGCTCTCTCACTTGCTCGCTCGCTCTTGCTCTCTCTCGCGCTCTCTCGCACTCTGACTCGCTCACTCTCTCTGTCTTGCTCTCTCTTGCGCTCTCACTGTGTCTCTCTCACTCTCTCTCTCTCTCCCTCTCCCGCCCTCTCTCACTGTCTCACCCTCTCCTAGTCTCTCACTCTTGCTCTCACTCAATTTTGCTCTATCTTGCTTGTTCGCTCGCTCTCTCTTTTTCTCTCTCTTGCACTCGCTCTTTCTTCCTCGCACGCTCGCTCCTTCTTTCTCTTGCTCTCTCTCTCTCTCATGAGCACACTCTCGCTCTTTCTTGCTCTTGCGCCCGCTCTTTCTCTCTCGCTCACTGTCTCGCCTCTCATAATCTCTCACTCTTTTGCTGTCCCTTATTCTGCTCTCGCTTGCTCACTCTCTCTCTGTCTTTCTTTCTCTCTCGCACTCACTCTTTCTTCCTCTCGCGCTCGCTTCTCTCTCTCTCTTTTGCTTCCACTCTCTTGCTTGCTCTCGCTCTGTCTCTCTCTCTCTCTCTCTCTCTCTCTCTCTCTCTCTCCCCTGGTCTCTCACTCTCTTGCTGTCTCTCATTTTTGCTCTCTTGCTCGCTCGCTCGCTCTCTTTCTTCCTCTCGCATTCTTTCTACCTCTTGCTCTCTCGCTCTCCATCTCTTGCTCTCACTCTCTAGCTCTTAGTTTCTCTCTCTCTTGCTCATTCTCTCTGTCCCTCTCTCTCTTTCTCTTTAGCTCACATGCCCTTTCTGTCTCTCTCACTCACTGTGTCTCTTCTGTTGTTTTTTGCACTCTTTCTTTCTCTCTAGCTCTTGTCTCACTCCATCTTTCTGTCTCTCAATATTTTGAGATCTCGTGCTCTTTCTTGCTCTCCCGCATGCTTTCTCTCGCTTTATTGCTCTGTCTTTTCTGCTCTCTCTCTCTCTCTCTCTCTGTCTCTCAGTCTCTTTTGCGTTCACTCTCTGTAGCTCCTTCTGTATTGCTCTCTGTAGCTCTCTCTCTCTCTCTCTCCCCCCAGAGACCCCCCTCCGCTCCTCTCTCTGGAGTGCATAACTGAGAATAACCCTGCGGAGCAGGAGGGGGTGGGGGATGGGAGTTGGCGCTGGTGCCAAGGGTTTGATGCTAGGGGAACATAAAGGAGCCTTTTTGGAGGTGTATAATTCGGATAACTATTCAGTGAGCTGGAAAGCACGACACAAACCCATTTCCACTCGGAGCTTGGGAACAGGGAGGATGCTGAGTGCTCTCCTTTTTAGGGCCGTCCAAGTTGTCAGAAATCTAAATTAAACTTGGCAACGTGGGATCTCTCTCTGGCCCAGTAGAGTAAACTTCAAACTATGATTAAGCCTTGTTTTCTTGAAAAAGCTGAAGATTAAGGGTTGTTTATTTTCCAGGTACTTTGTTTGGGGAAAAGTCTCAGAGTTTAGTCACCTTGTCGTTTGACTTTGAGGAAAGTTTCTGCTCGTTTATAGTGTTCAGAAGTGTCTGAGCCTGTGGGTGTAGTTGTAGCTGATACACCAGATTGGTGTTGACACCAGTACTGTCCATATTAAACGGACTGATTGGTGGCGAAACTGATCCACATCAGTACTGTTTCTTAGATGGAAGAGTGTCATTCCAAAACACATCATCAAATTCCTGTTTTTATTAATGGAACAAAATGCTCTACATACAGTTAATAATTGACGGGCACTTATATGTTAAAGGGGATAAAACGTCAAAATTAAAGCCCCTCTAAATTTAGGATGTGCAGTCTGACTAGTTTTGATTTGAGTATCCGTAAATGTTCATGAACAGATATTTGTTGAACTGCAGAGAAGGATAAACATATTGGAAAACAAAAAAAAGGATTTAATCTGAAATTAATGTAGAACTTTACCTCAGCTTTTTAGGTCATCAGCACTGGTGCTGCACAAAAAATGTGCATTGCACTGAGGAACTCAAAACGTGCTGTAACTACAGCTAACCGGTACAACACTAGATGCTGATGGAGACTCGTTGTCTTCTACAGATATTTTTCCTCTTTTAGTGGACAGTGTAATATGTTAGTTTGTCAGAGACATATATTTTGATTGTTTTTGGACCTCACATCTGCCTAGCCCAGGGGTCGGAAACCCAAATGTTAAGAAGAGCCATTTTGTCCTTTCAACAAAAATCAAACCAACTTGGGAGCCTCAACATTTAATGTCCATTTTACCATCTTGGTTATGAGTATGTCTCAGTATGTGCTGATGTCCTAGTATAGACTAAAAATATTAACAAAAACACAGACTTACTTTGCTCTGCTTTAAGCTTTAGCTCAGCTATAGCTGCTTTTCTAAAAGTAGAACAGTTTCTTGTAAAATGTCAGCGATTGATTTTGATGAGGCTGAAGTCAGTTTCTCGTTCGCCAGCTTTTTGTTAGAATTTTCCCGTTCCACCTTAAATCCTGCCTGAGGCGCCAGAATGTAATTGCTGCACCATTTAAGGTGGAAAGGGACAATTTGAATGAGAAGCTGGCGAACAAGAAACTGACTTCAGCCTCATGACCTTTTAGTTTTTGACAGTTTCTCGTTGCAGATTAAATCAGGAAACCAGCTGGATTATTTTATTTTAATTTCTGCTGTGGAGCCGCAACAGGGCGGTAAACGAGCCGCATGTTGCCGACCCCTGACCTAGCCTGTTTGGCAGTAAAAGCCATGCTTTCTCTGCCTTCTCAGTCACGTCCTTAACAACGATTTCCTTTCCACAGCACCCGTTTTAAAGCACTTGCGTTTCGGAATAGCAAAATATACTTGCAAATGCAAGCAAAACGTTAATGTTTTATACTCATGTTAAAGCACATTGTTGGTGTTACACTGATTTGTTGGTCTGTGTATTTTTTCCCTCTTTCCGTGATGAAATGTAGTACTTGAATAGTTTCAGTACTTGATTACTGGCACCTCAAACACTTACGAGTGCAGGGAGTACCCATGCATATCCCTGCTCTAAACCATGTGTGGCGTAGCACGTCAGAATGAAAGCGCCACGCAGGAGAGCTTCCTCAGTGAACATCTTTCAGACCTTAACATTTTTACCATTTACCAATTAAATATGTCAGAGTTTTGGGTGTCTTTGAGATAAGAAGATGATAAGAAGTCTAGAGTGATTAAAAATTAATTATAAGAATATGAAATACTCGTCCAGGTGCCTCAGTTTAAAAATCCTTAATTACCAAAATTTGGTGAAATGGCTGTGTTATGTTTTGGAATGAGCTCTTCAGTTTTAACAGTGCATTATATGAAGTGTGTAGACCTTAAATTGAAGAAGAATAATAAGTAAAGCTGATATGAGATCGGCACTCGTTAACGGCCGATACCATGGATCAGAATTGTTATTGGGAGAGAAAGGTCTGGATTGGTGCATCGCTGGTCATGCAGGCTCTGTGGTGCTTATTGTGAACGCTGTAATTTCTCTTCACTCCCGTTCCTCCTTTTCCCATCTGTCTCTCTCTGGAGGACGCTCTTTCTTAGCGTAGTGTAATTTGAAGGGTGGTCATCTGTCGTGGGGTTCTGCTGGGATTTCCTGTTTGGTGTATATGAGTACGTGCACTCCTCTGTGTTCTCCTCTGTATGTGTGTTTGAGAGAGAGAGAGGCTCAACGTGTTTTGTTGTGCAGATGAGATTCTAGAGAACAACACTTCCTTGAACCCACCCCCCCTGCTGACTTGCTTTGTACCCCACAGAAGAGACTGAAGCATGTTTTGGGGGCTGATTTTGCTGGAAGTTTCAGATTCTTTAGTGCGAAACTCGAGAATTGGCACTGAGGCCTGTTGCTTTACTATTCTACTGAGTTTTATTAGTTTTATTCCAGTGGTCTTTACAGGGGAATAAAGGCACGTCCCAATCCAGTCATGAGCCTCTACGTTTATTTATTTATTTTAGGCTGGTCTTATGTCAAAAAACGTTAAACTTAGCTCACGCGAGGGCTCCCGACTGACGCAGCCGTCTAAGCATAGGCTCATCTCCCTATCGCTGGGAGATTGAACATTCCTGGTGAGAGCCTTCTGTGATTGGGAGTATCTCTGTGGTTGGATAGGCTGGCCCTCCCTCTCCCCCATCACTCAGCATGATGCTAGCCAGTGTGAGTGTGTGTTAGCTGACTTAACATTGACAGTGTCCTCTTAAGTGTGTTGAGCTGTCCAGTGATGTTTGAGAAGATACGATGGGGCGTCACGTCTCAGGAAGCACATTTTCGCAATAACAGATCTGCTGTTTGTTTTAAACTTGGTTTAAAACTGTTTAAATAGGAAACATTGCCCGATGCCTTACGTGTCACACCAGGCACATAATGAAAACGAAGACGAAATTGAAAGTGAATTTTACTGTGGCATTTTTAAATAACTGCCAGCCTAGCAAATCTTAATTGGATGGGTTTTATGGGCTTCACTGTACTTCTAGTATAAAATTTGTGGCTGTATTTACAACCCCATTTCTAAAAAATTTGCGACGCTGGGCAGAATGTAAATAAAAATAGAATGCAATGATATGCAAATCACATGAACCATATTTTTAAAGGAAAATACTACAACATATCAGATGTTAAAACTGAGAAATGTTATTGTTTTTTGAAAAATATATGTTCATTATAGGGTTTAAATGATTTGCACCTCATTGCATTTTGTTTTTATTTACATTTTGCACAGCGTCCCAACTCTTTTGGAAATGGGGTTGTACAAAACTTCGAATATTGGCTCGTACCCAGTATCTGCAGATACTAAAAGCACTGGAATCAGACTCAGGCACAAACGCAGTTGATTGGGACATGCCTGTTTGATGTTTCTCTGTTTTGGGGGTTGCTGATTGAAGTTTTGGGCTCTTTGTTAGTACCAGAGGTGAATAAGAGAAGACGGAACAGATGAGCCGACACTGCTCTGAGTCTCAGTCTGTTGGACAGCCTGATGCTATCCCAGCGGTCAGTTGGTTAAGTCAGCGTTTCCCAATCACATTTTAGCTCTATTTGAGCTCTCAGTGTAACTGTATGAGGTATTTGTTGTTCTTGACTGCTGGGGAGCTGGGAAAAAGCAACAGGTGGATGTGGAAGTCCTGAGGACTGGATTGTGAATCACTTATGCAGAAGAGTAAGTAACACCACGTTGACCCAGGCTATTTCCAAGAGTTATCAGAGACATTATAAATGAGGAGACAGTTCACTGGTTAGAAAAATGAATGGGAACGCTTGTAATGTTCATGTCTTTTCATGGTGAAACTGAAAGTGAGAGTGATCCAGCTTTGTTGCGGAGGATTTTGCAGCAGCCAGGGAAAAATGAAATATTGTTTTTTGGGCCAAACTCTAAAATTTATACGTTTTTTGTTCGATTTTACCAGTGATTGCAAACGTTTTTGAAACATTACTGTGGCTTTTGCTTTCTTTTACTTTTGGCCGTGACTTCTGCCAAGTGGACAGACATTCCTATACAAACTTTGTGTCAGTCGCAGTAGAATTTGATGGGAGAAATGATGCATGAGGACACCACACTGAAACTCCTGCTCTGCCAGCTTTTGCATGGCCATTTTTACGCACTACCACTGCGATAGTATCACTCAGCATTTACTCTTTCATTCTTTTTCTGTTTAAAAAAAAAAAGATGCGTTTGCTTTTCCTCTTATTCTCACGTTGTCATTATTGTTAACTGTTTTTTTTCCCTTCATTGTACTGATGTAACTCTGCTGTTGGGCTTTTTTCCATTGTTTTTCTTTCACAGGCATGTGCCTGAAGTTGGCATGGAGATATTTCTGTTTCATAGTGCCTCTGTACTCACCCCCCCGCCCCCTTTACACGTGTTTCCCCTTTTTATAAAAGCACTTTTAAGTTGATCTTGTGCTTGAGGGAATGGTATTTTGTATCCAGCAGTTTCATTAAGTGCCTGACATGAAAATGGAAGTTTGGGACAAATCTATACATGAGAGAAGAAGAAAAATCGAGAGAGAGAGAGAAAGGAGAACAAACCCTCCAACCTTCTGCCGTTATTTATTATTTATAAAGCTGAAATAATTTTCACTTTGCAAAACAAAAAAAAGCCTCGCAGTGATTGTGTTAGAGAGGATAATTACACAGTCTTGCCCCGATTAGCTCGTTAAACAGGCTAAACGCTCCCCACGACGCTTTATACGAAATTCCCCTTCGCTCAGCGTGTTTATCACAGAGAGCCTGGCGCTGTCACACTGACAATCACACTTGTTTAGTAAACACACAAATAAACGGTGCCGCTGCCATGGAGACGGCGTACACTCGGTAATGAGGAGCATCGTGTTAAGTGGATTTATCCTCACTGGCCTACTGTAAGGTTCCTCCGTGTGGAGAAACGTGACAGATATGACGTTTCACTTTTTGAGAAAGTTGTAGCTGCACAAAAGATCCCACTGGGTACCACTTACTATGGACCAGAAGTTCCAGCTGTGTTCATGGAGATGTACCGTCCTGCAGGGTTTAGCTCCAACCCTGGGCCCAATATTCAGTCAATATTTATAATAGTAGTAGTAGCACTAACACTAATCAGGGCTGTCAAAGTTAGTGATTAATTAACTCCAGTCATTGTTTTTAATGCCGTTAATGCGTTTTTCTAGTTTGACCCTTTGAACCACCCCACGTAGTGCAGGCTGTAGCCCAGCTAGCGCACTGTATGTCGCTATGATAGAATCCGTAATTGTAGTTCACTCATTTAAACACAGCTTTTAAATAGCTTGTAAAGCAGCACTATGCTGGATGGTGCTCGTGGGAGAACTGTGGATAAATTAGTGGGCAGTAAACTAACAAAATCAACAGCAAAGTGGAAACTTCCCCCTGAGAATTCATCCTCCAGGATCCACGAGCTGTTTGCACGAGATCGAGTGTCTACAATCACAGAAGAGTTGACAGTTGACTTTATGTATGATATATATGATGTATGCACTCATTGGTTAGAACATGCAGCCACTGATGCTCTCACTGGATGTCAGTGATGAAAAATGGAGCCTGTTCACTTTGGAAATGTTGAGGTTTCCAAGTGAGGAGGTCAGGTTAATGTTCACTCTGCATTCACACGATGAAAATAATATCATTGAATTATTGACAGTAATAAATACATTCTGGTGAAGCTTATTTTGTACATTCATATAGCAGAATGTGCTACTGTTTAAAGGTTTTTTAGCATTAAATTTGAGTGATTAATCAATGAACTACATAAAATAATGCAATAATCATAATTATTTCTCATTTGACAGCCCTACTATTATAACTACTACTACCACTACTACTATTATTAATAATAATAATAATAATAGGTATTTTCTCATACATAGTTTTGCAGATGGAATTATGTACAGTAACAAATACAACAAATATAATTGCTCCAGAAATATAAAACTTCAACAATGAATTATATTTCTAGTCCCAATACGTACAGTTCATAAAATGCTTGTTGACATCGACAGATGCGTACATGGAAATTATTGGATATCGGCACTGATTCAGAATTCCCATCTCAGTGCATCTCTGTTGAGAACCTGTAGACTGTTTAGTCTGACGTTTTTCATCATGTGATCAGTTTTTTCCCAAACTTGTCCGATTCAGTGTTCTTATTTGCATTTGTCTTGATGTAATGCTTCCATTTGCCTGTATTATTTCATTCTGTTCTTAAAGTTGCTGCCTTTAAATTTATTTGGCTGTGCATTTTGTCACCCTCCCACTCCACTCATCCTCCTCCTACCACCCCCCATCCCCTCCTGCCTCCCTCCCTTTCTGGCCCCTGCCGCTCTCCCTCAGGTTGCATGGAGCAGCCGTAGTACATTAAGCTCTCCGTCCTGGTCTCCGGAGCGGTCAGAGGGCTGGGATGGCCCTAAGAGCCGACAGCTGCTGGGCGATCACGTCTGGACGGCCAAAGTGGTAAATGAAGGGCTGTGGCAGAGGGAGGTGTTTGTTTTACTGCTGGTCCAGGGCTGCTGCAGGGTAGGGCTGCACGATTTTGAGCCAAAATGACAATCGCAATAAATTTGAACGATATTTTGCAATTTCTGAATTTTTGTTGCAGTTAAAAGTGACTAGTACAATTCCGCACATGGCTGACATAAACTGTCAACATGTCCATTTTTAATTCTTGGAGTACATGAATTACATCCTTCCAAAAACATGCGACTAAATTCGCCAAAATAAATTGTGCAACCCAACCGCAGTACGCTCAGGGTTCTTCTCATGGTCATTGGTGGCACGCTGCCTCAACAAATGGTCTTGGGTGAGCTCTGCAGGGATGTTTGGGTGGATTTGGGCGGTTTATGAAGTTTAAATATGGCCTTGTCGCTGCATGTGGACATTGTTGTATGCCTGTATGGTTGTCAAATTATGATAATTGCTTTTATTGAGTGGTACTGTAATTGCAAATACATAATATTCTGATTTGTCATAATGCGTAAATGTTATTTGGGAAAGCATTTTTAAAATGTGCAGAACGAACAGATGGGATTGGCCATTTCACTCACAGCTAACAAAACAAATCTGTAGCCGGAGAGTGCAGTCATTGCGATTCAGCGGCTTACATGTTTAAATTACAGCAAATTCTGATTACATTTTTATGATCGGTGGTAAAAGTCTACTTTGCACAGACCATAATGACGCAGGTTGATGACGATGCTTTAAAGGTGATAACTGACCTCGATCTAGGGAGGACTAATTTAACTTGTTAAATAAAATGAAATAATAGGTGCGTATAATGTTTTATTCCATTTAATTGTTAAAATAGTGGATTATCGCGGGACATTAAAGAGCTGTTAGACTGCATACATACATACATACATCATCTACACCACTTATCCTGTTAGACTGCAATGCAGCAAATTCCCCACTATGCTGTTTCCCAAAGGGTGACGTACCATCTGAGCATTTTCTGTACAGCTTAAGTGTTGCGTCATTCGCTGGTGAACTTATGAAAATATTTCCCACAAGCATCTGTGCCGGACTCCAGAGCGGCTTCCCTGTAACGATGGAAAACGGTGTTTGTTTTTCCCAGAGTACAACACATGGACATGGCTTTGTTTACTCTCACATGTTTAGCAGTCAGAGGTTTCCCCACAAGGGGGAGCTAGCAAGGAGGGGGAGGGTGCATCATTTAAAGATATAAAACTGTCAAGAACACACACCAGCAGGAGCGCCGTAATAATTTGCAGTGTTTGCAGTCACTTTCAAAACAAGAGGTGAAGTAATTTATTACCAAAAGATTATTCAGTATTACATTATTTAAAATGTGAATGTTTTTATTTAATCAGGTAGCACTTAAAAATGCATATTAGCTAAAGATAGTATAGAAAGTAGATCTGCACTACACTAAAAATGATGGTTCGTTGAGTTCTTTAACAAAGAAAATGGTTCTGTACAAAACCGTGAACACTCAAAGAACCCTTTGCATGATTAAAGGGTTCTTTGCATCATGAAAGCGTTCTTCAGACTGATGGAGAATGTGCTGTAGATGGTTCTATATAAACCTTTTTGAAAAGGGTTCTGTATTAGCCCCAAAAAGGGTTCTGCTAATGTTATGATGTTAAGCCTGTAACAATAGAAGAAACTGTTTTGGTGCTATATAGAACCCTTTTTAGAAAGGCTCTGTACAGAACTATATAAAACACATTCTTCATTAATCTGAGGAACCTTTGATGATGCAAAGAACCCTTTAATCATGCAGAGGGTTCTTTGAGTGTTTGAGAACCATTTTCTTCGCTAAAGAACCCTTCAAGAACTGTGTTTTTTAGTGTTTAGATCTTAGGTGCAGTGAACTGCTTATAATATTATTTTTAATAACATTATAATTATTTTTATATATCGCCCAGGCCCAGGTCGTACGTTTCCTTGCTTCCCAGCTACATTAGCCTTGTAGCTTTAGTGCTAAAACAAAAGAAGCAGACTTCAGATAACAAGCATTTCTTGGCTGAGTTTATTTGGGATATTATAATATTATGATGCAAATGTTTTTGTATTTTTTGCCAAACTCTCGCTTTAAATTTGATTGTTCGTCGTCATTAATCCAACATGTCTCCAAGTTCCTCAGATTACTCGTCCTCCTGCAAATGCTTGCTAACTGGCCTCTCTCGCTCTGCAGCATCTCCTCAGACATGCACATACACACACGCACATGGAGCTGCAGAGCCTCCCTCACCAAATCCTCACACTTTCCTCCATAATTCATTTTTGCACAAATTAGCCACAGACTGTACAGGCGGTGGAGCGTGGCACCTCCTCAGGCCGTCTCTCTAAATGGAGTTGACGTCTCCTGTCTCGAGCAGTGCAGCTCAGGCGGGAGTGAGGTAATTACCTGGAGGAAGGAGGATACGGGCCACAGCCTCAGCTCAGCGGCATAGGCAACGCGATGCCTTTGGAGGCAGGGCAGGGTGGCAGGAACACAGGAACAGAGGCTGTAACGTGAGCCAAGTTATGTTCAGGCAGGCTTGAACTCAGTGGCTCTGCCTCCCCTGTGTTCACACGTACAAGCAGGCCAGGACTAGGTGATCTGGCCAAAATTCACATTTTTCTGTCATTAATGTCAATAATGATTACAATTTTAGATTTTCTTAATGCTCACTTTTAGGTTTAAATGGTATTTCGAACCCTAAAGAAACAAAACGCATATGATTTAATAGAAAAGGGTACATCTAACATAGGGCTGCAAGATTAAGCCGTTTTTGTTGCTGTATGAGTTTCCACAGTGAACTTGTTAAGGGCTGCGATGACCAAACAAAAAACATTGCATTACATGCACAGCGCCAGACTGATGAAATTAGGCTATGGTGGAAATGTAGCATTAGGAGCTGTGTCTAATTTTAGAGCAGCAGTGTGCTTTGCTAAACCTGGCTTGAAACCCTGATCTCCTATGAGTGACTTAACCACTCTGCTATAGAGCCAACTAGAAGACATACACAGAGGTCAGAGACTACTCCATCCTCAACTAACATGTAAAAATGCTTAAAACTAGGTTTTTCTGACCCCCAGAATTGTTTAAAATGTTTGAAACAGCTTCTGGTTAGAAATTTCCCATAGTTAGCTAGCTAGCTAAATTTCCTGTTCCACCTTAAAAAGCATCAGAACTGCTACATCATTTAAGGTGGAATGGGAAATTTAGCTAGCTAGCTACCAAGACATTAGCATAATATTAGCGATTTTTAATGCTTGTTATGAAGGAAACGACCGTAATACACTGAAATGATGTTAAACTAAGATAATACATTGGTTATCGTAATGTTTTAACAGATACAATTCTCACATTTGTGGGTTACTTTGGTTGCTTGTGCAGCCATCTTGCTGGTTTTTCTTTTTCTCATTACCCTCTGAAAAACCTCCGTTTAGAGGGCCATGTTAAGTCAAGTCAAGTCAAGTCAAGTTAAAGTTTATTTATGTAGCGCTTTTTACAGCAGGTGTCGTCACAAAGCAGCTTTACAGATTAATCCGGGTCCGAGCCCCCATAAGCGTCGCCAGTGGCGACAGTGGCAAGGAAGAACTCCCTAAGAGCAAGAGGAAGAAACCTTGAGAGGAACCAAGACTCAAAAGGGGAACCCATCCTCCTCTGGTCGACACCGGAGAGCAAACAGCATTAGAATAAAATATTAAATACAAAACTGGGAAAAACAGGTGGAGCAATGGTTAATTAGATAGTTTGAGTTTATGCAGCAGCATCAAGCAGCACCATGTGGCCCCAACACTTTGCCCTACCCCTCTATCTCAACAGAAATCAGGACACCCTATTTCTAGACGTGCACGCGCAAAACAGAGGGCGTAGGGCAAAGTGTTAGGGGCGAGGGGTGAAATGGGACTGAGCCTTAGTCAAATTGGGTTAATTATTTTTATTCAGTAACCTCAAAACGGTGCCAGTCTTCATTTGTCGATCTGGGTTGGTTCAGGCAGTCATACTGGGTTTTGGATGAGTCAGTCGCTGCTGCGTTTCCTGTGAGCGAAATGTGGGTCAAGCTGTTGAGTCATGACGGGATGGAGGATTATGTTAGCGGAGCTCTCCCCGTGGAGACGGGCCGATTTAGCGGAGCGGGCCTGCGTGGTGATTTATCAGGGCCATCAGTAAACTGGGCTGGGAGGTTCCGTACTTTGGGCTATTAGAGCAAGTGATGACTGTGAAGGGTGGAGCTTTCGGTAATTAAAGAGCAGATAGATTGCAGTGATAAACAAATGTTTATCGTTATCTTTTTTCCTTTTTTTTCTCCTTGTTTTTATGGGCTGTTAAGCACACAGACTGAAGGTCATGTTTAAAGTTCACTGCAACTCATTTAGCTAATCACAGCCTTCACGTGTGTTTAATTTTTGATAAGCAGCTCGCATCGTTCAGAGCAGCCAGGCAGCGACTGAGTGACTGAGGCTCGCTCTTCATATCATTATGTGAACATTCTCTCTCTCTCTTTTTCTCCCTCCTCCTCTCTCTCGCTCTTTATCACTCTCTCTTTTCTTTCCTTCTCTCTTCTTTCTCTCTCCCTCACTTTATCTCTCCTTCTTTCATCTCTCTTTCTCTCTCTCCTCTCCTTGTCGCTCTCTCACTTCTTTTCTTTCTTTTTCCCTCCTTTCCTCCTTTCTCTCTCCCTCTTATCCATTTCTCTCTCTCTCCATCCCACTTCCTTCCCCTTTTCTTTCTCACTCCTTCTTCTCCTACCCTTTCTCCTCTGTCTCTCCTTCTGTCCCTCTCCATCTCTCCCTTCTCTCTGTCTCTCTCACTCCTTCTCTTTCCTCATCTTCCTCCTCTCTTTTTGCTTCTGTCCTTCTTTTACTCTGTCATCCTTCTCGTTCCTCTTTCTTTCTCCTTCTCCTCCTCATGCTGTCATCTCTCTCTCTCTCTCTCTCTGTCTCTCCCCTCTCCCCTCCGTCTTTCTCTTTCCCTCACTGTCTCTCCCCTTCTTTCTCACATTTTATCTCTTCTTCTCTCTCTTCTCTCTCTTTCTGTCTTCCTCTCTCTCTCCTCTTTCCACGTATCTCTCACTTCTTTCTTTTTCCGCTCCTTTCCTCCTTTCTCTCTTTCTTCTTTCTCTCACTCCCTCCCACTTCCTTCCCCATTTCCTACTCTCGCTTCTCTTTCCTTCCCTTCTCTGCTTCTGTCCTTCTTTCACTCTCATCCTTCAACTTGTCTGTCTCTCCTTCTCTTTCCCCTTTCTCTCTCCTTCTTATGCTCTCTCTCTCTCTCTCTCTCTTTCTTTCTCTCTCTCTCTCTCTCTCTCTCGTTCTCTCTCTCTCTCTCTCTCTCTCTCTCAGGGCCGTGGATCAGGCTTCCCAGGACGGAGGCGACCCAGAGGCTCGAACCTGTCTGGCAGAGGCGGCCGGGGACGATCCAGACTGAAGACGGACAGCAGCCTGCTGGTGAACCCCGGGGTACGGACCCCCTGCCAAAACCCCCCTAGTACACCACACCCTTCCATCCCCCACCTCTCTGCATGCATGAATAATAGAACTCTAAGATATGCTCAGTGTAGCATAGAGCTGGCATTAAACCCAGAGCCGAGCACTCAGCCTCAGCAAAGCTCACTCCACCAGAGCTCTGCTGAAATGGCCCTTTTCCCCCTCAAACCAGCAAATGCTGACATTTCCCCCGCGGGGCCACACAGTTTAGGCAGGGGGGAATGGAGGGAGTAGCCGGGCTCGTGTTTGCCTGGCTCCTAGATCAAACGCGCAGATTTGTTGGCGTTTTGAACAGATTTGTGGTATCGACACCCTGGCGGTCCGCTATGCTGTGTAAACTGTGATGCGTATGCACACACCTCGACGGCGAACACATCCCGCCAGGTCGAGGCTTATTGGAATCCAATACGGCACGTAGCTGTTAAGTAAGACTGCAACCTGATACAAATGCAGAGTCTTGCTTACACGTGGGGAGTGTGTTATGATTAGCTAATGATGGCTGTGTGTTTCTCAGGTTAAGGAGATGATAGTATATTGATTTCCATTGCAAGACCGTGTATTAGATATTTTTAAGCAAGACGTGCGGTTCACGCTCGTTCAGTAGGGAAAGGCTAACCTGACAATGATCATATTTGACTGTTTAGCCACAGGTTGTGGCTGTGTTTACTGGCGCAATTTCACATTAACTCTCATTTGAAAATTCTGAATGGATTGGTTACAGTAAAAATATGATGGCATTTTAGGGCCAATGTTAAAAATAATAGACTTTGAGAATAAAGTGGTAATATTTTGAGAAGTGGTATTTTTTTATTTTTTTTTAGAATAAAATCAATATTTTCACAATAAAGTCGCAAAGTTAAAAGAATAAATTTGTGATATTTCGAGGATAAAGTAGGCTGATTGTAGGGTGGCTGCTGTGACGCACTGGGGTCTCCGTTGCTACACTAGCGAGGACGAAGACGCAGAGCGCACCAGAGTTCCACTCACTCCTTCGGGATCAATCATTTTAATTATCGTTCTCCTTGTCTCCTGTGAAGCTACACGCCCTCTTCGAATGGCACGGAGATGTAACCACCAATAGCTGTGTAGACAAGCGCTGCCTGCGATTCTCCTTCAACAAAACAGGCAGTTTCTCCGAGTCCGCGTGGTCGTTCATTCTAAATAAACAATTTGTTGCTCAGCTGTTTCAGCCATTTTTTATACTAATAATAATAATAATGATTCCTGGTAATATCCCACTTTAATGTTGTAATTCTATGACTTTAGAAATATTATGACTGTATTCTCAAAATATCATTCCGTACGACGTTTTATCTCAAAATATTATCACTCTATTCTCGAAGTCTACTGTTTTTATTTATTTATTTTTTACAGTGGCCCTAAAACGCCGTCGTAATGAAGATACGGATAGATCAAGAAGAATATCACACTCTTGCACTGACCTCTTTTCCACTGTAGGGCCAAACAATTCAAAAGCTTTCTGTGAGGGAGCTTTTCAGCCACTTCAGCTTGGTTCTTTTTAGTCGTTACCAAAAAAAAAACGTGGCATCGTCCCATGTCTAATATGTATTTTAATAGTATTTGTACTTATTTACTTGTTGGTTAGTGATTTATTTTTGGTTTTTTCATCGGTGGCGGAGGGCTGCCTGATTTTACTGGTGGGTGTTTGTAAGAGATGTGTTTTTCCACAGGTGAGCTTCGTGGAGACTCCGTACGTGGTGAAAGAGGAAGAGGAGAACAGCATGCACAACACTGTGGTTTTGTTCTCAAGCTCTGACGCCTTCACCCTCAAACAGGTGTGTATTTGTGTGAGAGCGAGAGCGCGACCTTGCATGGGTAGAGAGCAGTTGGATCGGGTTATCTCCAGGTTGTTTCTGACTCTTTGGCCTCTTATTCTCTCCAGCTCGCTCCTATTTGTATCTTGAAGACCTGAGGCCATAGCATTTTTTTTTCCCCCCTGAATGTTAAACAAGACAACCAGCACATAGAAATAAAGTGCAATTTAATGTAACAACCTCTTCCTATGATTACAAATCATCCTATGAAATAAGCTGATATGCTCGTGTTTAATCAGTGTCCCGAATTAGTTTAGTTTAAGTGTTTTCCTGAAACCTCTGAGCTAATTTACATTATGCCTGGTATTTTGGGGTTACGACCCTGTCTAACTACATTCTCTCTTGGCACGAACGAATCCTTCAGCAGTTGCGCTGTGCGTAGGGCTCGCTGAAAGTGTGCGAGCCCCAGGTTATTCTCTCTGTCTTTATGTGTATGTGGGTGGGTTTCTTGGGTGAGGGGGTTGTGTGGTGTTGAGTATAGCTGAACAGCATCTTGTATGTCTTTCGTGCTCTGTGTCTGCAGGACATGTGTGTAGTGTGTGGAAGTTTCGGACAGGGCGCTGAGGGGAGGCTTCTGGCATGTTCTCAGTGCGGTCAGTGCTACCACCCTTTCTGCGTCAGCATTAAGGTAAGAGCGCTTCTGTCTTAACCGGAGGGGTATGGCTGTTATCGTAATGTGATAAATTACATCACTGTATGCTTTTCCGAGTGTTACTGGTATCATCAGTACTTCTATAACACTGGACAAACTCATGCATCACGAAGATTTTGACCGATGATAGAGGTCCCGTAACAGGACAGTTAATTGGGCGATATAATCTGATAATGGTAGTGATGAGTAACCTGATGATGGTGCTTCAAAGGCAGTAATTGCTGTGTTGAGAAGGAAAACTGACTGTCTGAGGAAAAGTCTGTGTTTTCTGTGCAGCTTCAGTCCCGATGGGTCCAATGAGAAAGTGTAAAACTTGGTTTCTCACAGGCGTCTATAGGTGATTCTAGAGCAGCTCTGCTATGGAGATTAATCATTCATTCCATCCTTCCTTCTTTCCGTCCCTTCTTCCTTTCATCCATTCTTTCTTCCCTCCTCCCTTCCATCGTTCCTTCCTTCCATCCTTCTTTCCATCCCTTCTTGCTTTCATCCATCCTTTCTTCCTTCCTTCCTTTCTTCCATCCTTACTTCCATCATTCCTTCCTTCCTTCCATCCTTTCTTCCTTCTGTCCTTCCTTCCTTCATTCCATCCTTCCTTCCATCCTTCCTTCCTTCCTTCTTTCCATCCCTTCTTCCTTTCGTCCATTCTTTCTTCCTTTCTTCCACCCTTCCTTCCATCATTCCTTCCATCCTTTCTCCCTTCCATCCTTACTTCCTTCCGACCATCCGTCCTTCCATCTATCCATCCATCCAACCTTCCATCCTTCCTTCCTTCCATCCTTCTTTCCATCCCTTCTTGCTTTCATCCATCCTTTCTTCTTTCCTTCCTTTCTTCCATCCTTGCGTCCATTATTCCTTCCTTCCTTCCTTCCATCCTTGCTTCCTTCCCCCCATCCATCCTTCTGTCCTTCCTTCCTTCCATCCTTGCTTCCTTCCCACCATCCATCCTTCTGTCCTTATTTCCTTTCCTCCATCCATCCATTCTTCCTTCATTCCATTCTTCTTTCCTTCCTTACATCTATCCATTCTTCCTTCCTTCCCTCCTTACATCCTTCATTCCCTCATCCATCCTTTTTTCCATCCATCCTTCCTTCCTTCCACCCATCCTTCCACCCACCCATCCATCCATCCATCCTTCCTTCCTTCCTTCTATCCTTCCATCCTTCACAGTTAATTACCAAAATGTTTATTTACTCTATTTTATATTATTTAATATGTGATGCACATTAAACCAATGAATGCCAAAATCATATAAGCTAAAGATAGCATAGAAAATAATACAATTGATAGTCTTTTAAACTTTTATAACCTAGACCTAAGTTATAAACAACAGCCAGTGTCTAGTAGTCTAGTAATAGTTCATTTTGACATGTTTAATTCTCCAAAAAAATGTTTTAAATAGGCTTCCATCAAACGTGGCACTACTAGTTTCATAATGCATTTAGTCTCCAAACTAAATATTGTGTTGCATAACTTGTGTCTAAAAAAGTGCTGTGATGTTATATTTTCTAGCCATACAGTCCACCTATTATCTCCCCCTCTGTCTCCTCTTCCCACGGACCATCCGCAGAGCCGACTTGTAAAAGAGCGGTGTGAATTATGATGTGTCTGTCTGTGGTGGAGGGTAATGGCGTGTGGGGAGCGTGTGATAAGCTTGACAGGCCGGTGTGTGTGAGGTCTTTGGCCTAAAGCGGCTTTGGAGTAATGTGTAAAACGTTAAGAGGATTAAGAGTCATACCTTAAACACTGTGGGTCTTGTGTTGATAGACTAAAGCAGGGCTGGAGGGTCACCAGAGATTTTATCCTGTCAGGAAAGCTTGACAGACTTAAGGATGGCCATTATTCCCCTTACCGCGTACATTTTCTATTAATAAATTGGTGAAAGTGCTCTGTCTTTATGCCCAGAATAGTGATTCTGTTATTTTAGCTCCTTTGAATTTGCACATCTGTAGTCAGTCATCATAGATGTAAAGCACTGTAATAAGTGCGAGTGGCTTTTAGGGCCTCTTTGGTCTTTATCATTAGTACTAGAACACCATCCCCTTACTAAACACTGCTAGAGCCATAACCCGGTTCCATGCTGCTAACACTGACTGTCCCAGCAGCCTTTGCCTCTGCTTTTGCCCCCACCGTCCTTTCTCCAGCTCCTGTTTTCGCCCCTCCACCCTCTGCTTTTGCCCCCACCATCCTCTGTTTTTGCCTTTCCAGCTCCTGCTTTTGCCCCACCACCATCTGTTTTTGCCCCTCCACCCTCTGCTTTCGTCCCTCCACCCTCTGCTTTTGCCCCCACCATCCTCTGTTTTTGCCTTTCCAGCTCCTGCTTTTGCCCCACCACCATCTGCTTTTGCCCCTCCACCCTCTGCTTTTGCCCCTCCACCCTCTGCTTTTGCCCCACCACCATCTGTTTTTGTGCTCACCGCCCTCTGCTTTTGCCCTCGCCACCCTCTGCTTTTGCCCCTCTGCCACCCTCTGTTTTTGCCTTTCCAGCTCCTGTTTTTACCTCTCCACCCTCTGCTTACGCCTGCACCTTATGCTTTTGCCCTCACCACCCTCTGTTTTTGCCCATACCACTCTTTCTCCAGCTCCTGTTTTTGCCCATCCACCCTCTGCTTTTGCTGCCATCATCCTCTGCTTTTCCTCTCCAGCTCCTACGTTTGCCTTTGTCACCCTTTGCTTTTGCCCCTCCACCCTCTGCTTTTGCCCCCACCACCAACCTCTGCTTTTGCGCCTCCACCCTTTGCTTTGGCCCTTTCCGCCCCTGCTTTTGCCCCTCCCGCCTCTGTTTTTTTGCCCTCACGCCTGTGCTTTTGCTGCCTGAACCCCTGCTGTTGCCCCTGACTTTGTACTTCTGTTCTTACTCTTGATTTTGCCCCCCCTTGCTTTTTCCTCATTGGCTCTTGCTGTTTGTTCTGTTGTCCTCTTTCTGTTGCCCCAAAGGGCTGCCTTTTTGCCCCTCCCAACCTCTGCTTGCCAGCCTGTTTTTATCTTTCCAACCCATTGTTGTTTACCCAGCCTGTGCTTTTCTGTGTCTAACTTCTGATTTTGCCCCTCCACCTATTGCTTTTTGCCCAGTCAACTCCATGCTTTTTGCTCCACTAGCCCCTTGCTCTTTACCCCACCAAATGTTTATTATTTCCCATGATGTAGTGCAGGTGGAGCCTACACATGGTTGGAAGTGCTGTTAGCAGTGACTTAGCTTTGCTTGCTCAGGCAAAGGGGCAATTTAGGAGAAGCTCTTAATTGCACTGTGCTGTGACAGGAAGGTTTGCTCCATGCTATGGTTAGTGTGTTACCTCATGGTTTTCTTCTGCTTGTGAAACTAGCTTAGAAACAGCACAAGCAGCCATGTTTTCAGATTTATTTGAAGGTTCTTGCCATAATTAAAGTTAAATGTTATACAGAACCCAAAAATATAGATGTATGTTTTATATTAAGATGTTTCTGAGCAATGTTTTCTTTCAATTATGATATTATAGAGGCTGCAGAGATATCGTCACGTCAGTAAGTGTTTAGTTGATGTGTGTTTTCTCAAACAGTCATTTGTTGTATTTTTTTGTATTGTTGTTTTAAGGAACATGGGTGAGGTCACCTTTCTCACTCTACACATCTCTTGGTCTGTAAAGAAAAAAAAACAAACAAAAAAAAAACAATGAATCCTTGAAGGAAACCCCTCTGAGACGTGAACTGACCTGCAAACAGGAGGGTCATGTGGTCACTGTGTATGAGATTAACACTGGGTTTGAAAATGCCCCTCTGCATGACTTTTGACGCTTGACTGTTTTTGTGTTCTTCAGATCACTAAGGTGGTGTTGAGCAAAGGCTGGCGGTGTTTGGAGTGCACGGTGTGCGAGGCGTGCGGTCAGGCGAGTGACCCCGGCCGTTTGCTGCTGTGTGATGACTGTGATATCAGCTATCACACCTACTGTCTGGACCCTCCACTGCAGAACGTTCCCAAAGGCAGCTGGAAGTGCAAATGGTAAAAATACACTTACTCAGTCGATCACTTACTACCTCAGTCTGCCCGTCTCATTCATTAACATTCATCAATCCATACGTCTGTGTCCTGTCCGTTTATCTGACTGTCTGTCTCTGTTAGCCTAAATCTTTTCATCAATATGTCTGTCTGTCAGCTTTTCTATCTGTCTGTCTGCTTTTCAGTCTTTCCTTCTACATTTATGTCTGAGTCAGCATATCTGTCTGTCTATCTGCTTTTCTGTCTGTCTGTCTGCATGTTTGTATATGTCTGTCAGATTGTCTGTCTGTCTGTCTGTCTGTCTATCTATCTATCTATCTTTATATCTGTCTGTCTGTCAGCTTGTTTGTTTATATGTCTGACTGTCTATGTCTCTGTTTATATATGTATCTGTCTGTCTTTTATGTCTGTCTATCTGTCTGCTTGTCTGTCTATATAGACAGATAGCTAGCTTGTGCCTTTCTGTCTTTTTGTCTGTCTCTGACAGCTTGTCTGTCTCTCTCTCTCTCTCTCTCACTCTCACTCTCACTCTCTCTCACTCTCACTCTCACTCTCACTCTCTCTCTCTCTCTCTCTTTCTCTCTCTCTCTCTCTCTCTCTCTCTCTCTCTCTCTCTCTCGATCTTTAGCAGGGGTTTAACAGCTGTTTTCCAACCAGATAGTCAGGGATTTCCCTCATATTTGGTGTAATGTCAGATGTAATCCCTAATCAAACAGAGCTGTATTTGCAGGGCCATGTGACGTGGTGTGCCGGAGTTTTAGCTGGATTTGAGCCATCTCCATATTTATTTTTAGGGTAGCTCACTCGTCACTGAGCCACATGCAAACTCATGAGGTGTGCCCATCTGCGGAGTCATACAGTGCACTGTGCTTGTGTCTGTGTTTCTGAGTGTGATCCTGTTCCGCCATGTGCTCTCTGCTCCCCTCCTCCAGGTGCGTATCCTGTACTCAGTGTGGAGCCACATCCCCTGGCCTGCGCTGTGATTGGCAGAATAACTATACTCAGTGTGGTCCATGCGCTAGCCTGGCCATGTGCCCGGTGTGTGCCCGCAGCTACAGGGAGGAGGAGCTGATCCTCCAGTGCCGGCAGTGTGACAGGTGAGCAGCTTCTACACAGTGCAGGATGTGCAGTCAGCAGGGCAAATAGCACCTATAAGGGGCACCTAAATCCATGTCAGATAAACATATAAAATATTTTATCTTGGACCATATTAGGTTTCTTAATGCTCTTGTTCATTTCTGGAATACAAATGCTTTTAAAAGTGGGTGTGGCCTTAATTTTTAACTGAGAATGAGTGCCTTGGAAATACGTGCAAACTGATGATAGGTGCATGAAATTAACAAGGACTCATCCTTTGTTTAAGCCATATTTAAGTCCCAAAATAAAGGTTCTAGAGAAACATGTATGCCATATATTTTGCTGAAAATTCAGGGGCAGAAATTTAATTTAACCTTGGCCCTCTAGGTCTCCAGGTCTTTCAGGCTTTTAACATGACTTCTATTTCAATACACCTTTGACAGCTAGGTATTTGTTTGATTAGCATAGGGGTGTAATGCATTACCAGGCTTAGGGAAGTAGTGGAGTACAAATATTGGGAATACATATTCAGTATATACAGAAATTAAGTATCTGTATTTAGTCCAAGTTACATTTTGGAAAGGCAGTATTCAGAATATAGTTACTTCCTGGATTTTAGAATAATAGTTTTAGAATACCCATTAAATGTAATAAATATATACAAACACTGTAATTCTTAAGTGTGAGTAAACGGATAATCAACGTGATCAGTTATTAATCTCAGTGATACTGAGCTCTGCTAAAGCCTGAGTAGACTGATAAATCAATGTGATGATCAGTTATTAATCTCAGTGATACTGAGCTCTGCTAAAGCCTGAGTAGACTGATAAATCAATGTGATCAGTTATTGATCTCAGTGATACTGAGCTCTGCTAAAGCCTGAGTAGACAGATAAATCAGTGTGATCAGTTATTGATCTCAGTGATACTGAGCTCTGCTAAAGCCTGAGTAGACTGATAAATCAACGTGATCAGATATTAATCTGTGTTACTGAGCTCTGCTAAAGCCTGAATAGACTGATAAATCAATGTGATGATCAGTTATTAATCTGTTACTGAGCTCTGCTAAAGCCTGAATAGACTGATAAATCAATGTGATGATCAGTTATTAATCTGTTACTGAGCTCTGCTAAAGCCTGAGTAGACTGATAAATCAATGTGATGATCAGTTATTAATCTCAGTGTTACTGAGCTCTGCTAAAGCCTGAGTAGACTGATAAATCAATGTGATGATCAGTTATTAATCTCAGTGTCACTGAGCTCTGCTAAAGCCTGAGTAGACTGATAAGTCAATGTGATCAGTTATTAATCTGTTACTGAGCTCTGCTAAAGCCTGAGTAGACTGATAAATCAATATGATGATCAGTTATTAATCTGTGTTACTGAGCTCTGCTAAAGCCTGAGTAGACTGATAAATCAATATGATGATCAGTTATTAATCTGTGTTACTGAGCTCTGCTAAAGCCTGAGTAGACTGATAAATCAATGTGATCAGATATTAATCTGTGTTACTGAGCTCTGCTAAAGCCCGAGTAGACTGATAAATCAATGTGATGATCAGTTATTAATCTGTTACTGAGCTCTGCTAAAGCCTGAGTAGACTGATAAATCAATGTGATGATCAGTTATTAATCTCAGTGTCACTGAGCTCTGCTAAAGCCTGAGTAGACTGATAAGTCAATGTGATCAGTTATTAATCTGTTACTGAGCTCTGCTAAAGCCTGAGTAGACTGATAAATCAATATGATGATCAGTTATTAATCTGTGTTACTGAGCTCTGCTAAAGCCTGAGTAGACTGATAAATCAATATGATGATCAGTTATTAATCTGTGTTACTGAGCTCTGCTAAAGCCTGAGTAGACTGATAAATCAATATGATGATCAGTTATTAATCTGTGTTACTGAGCTCTGCTAAAGCCTGAGTAGACTGATAAATCAATGTGATGATCAGTTATTAATCTGTTACTGAGCTCTGCTAAAGGCTGAGTAGACTGATAAATCAATGTGATCAGTTATTAATCTCAGTGTTACTGAGCTCTGCTAAAGCCTGAGTAGACTGATAAATCAATGTGATCAGTTATTAATCTCAGTGTTACTGAGCTCTACTAAAGCCTGAGTAGACTGATAAATCAATGTGATCAGTTATTAATCTCAGTGTTACTGAGCTCTGCTAAAGCCTGAGTAGACTGATAAATGAATGTGATTAGTTGTAAATTTCAGTGTTACTAAACTCTTTTGAGGCATGATCGAACTAAACAGTCTCACCAGTAGTGGACATGCTCACAAGTGATTAGTGTTGTGCTGACCTTATCCAGGCATATCATGGTTACATACATGGTATTAACTGAAATCCACAGCCACCCACTCCTTAGTCATATTTGCACGATTCTGTTGCTGTGATATGGCAAATTGTTTGCTTAGTTGATGAGTCGGCAGTGGGACTGTGTGCAGCAGTGGACTGAAGCAGGCAATGAGAGCCAAAATGATGTTCAGAATTTTGTAGCTTCATTTAAATAAGTGAATTTTTCATGAAACATGTTACCAGACGAATTACTTGAAAACTGCCAGCCAGTAGTGGCGAGGAACAGTGTGAATTAAATAATTACAACAGCAGAGTTTGAGCTTTTCACATTTGCCTTATCATTGTGTGTGATAATGTATTGTAAATGTGTCCTGAATGCATTCGTTTATATATTTTAATGTAATACATTACTGAAAACAATTTATCTATCTATTATATATTTAGTATTCAGTCATCACTGCTGCATCAAGTGTTCTGCCCAACACTGTTCATTACATTTCAAATGCATATTGTTCATGTCTGACATGGGCTACCACAAAATACCACAAAAAAAGGAAGAAGCACCTTTCAGTTAATAAACTAACCAAATATGGAATTTGTATTGTAGCCACACTGTTTTGAAACATTTTCTGGGGTAGAATTTCTTTGGTTTATATCAAAGCCGTCAGGTTACAATCTTAGCTTTTGTGTTTTACAATTGTGTTTTACATGCTCTAATACAACTCCTTACCTTATTATGAATGACTTCGTTAAAATGTTATATATAGGATAGGGATGATTGCTAATTTGTACATGCAGGGATCCTCTGTGTCTTCAGTGCAATATGCTATCGATTTCATGACTACATTTTTCTTTACTTGGGTTATCTGGCACCTGCATACAAATACTTCTGCTTGTTCATCAGGGTTTAATGAAGTTGCTTCGTTCTTTAGGTGGATGCACGCATCCTGCCAGGGTCTGAACTCAGATGAGGAGGTGGAGAACGCGGCTGATGATGGCTTTGACTGCACCATGTGCAGAATGCACACTGTTTCCACCCAAGGTAATAACACACTGTGGAAAATCTACCATTCAGAGCTAAAGTTGTGTAGAAATTAACAGAACGTACTCTGATTTTTACAGTAGAAAAGAGTTAATGTTGTAGAACCGGTACAGTTTTTCCCATAGAAATGTTGTATGATGTAATTATAATGCATTATATTGATGCATACTTTAAGCTCCTGCCCTGAAGTGCTCTCCCTGCTGTGGGGGAGTATGTCTGCCTCATCAGTGCTATAATTACTGCTGCTTTTTGAGAAATCTTAAGTGAATTTAAGCATGTAGAGCACTGGTGCCAAGTCTAGAGAGCTGCCATCTTTAGCTTCAGTGTTAAGCTGTTATACATGGGGGTTCTTCACAAAGCAGGATTTAATTAACATTATGTACTGACCAGGTCATCTTACTCTAATGTCATGTTCTAGGCATAGTCTTTAATTAACAGTGCACATTAACATCTGAGGTCGTAAGTGTTGCCACTTAGCTAAGTTTTGCCTGCCCCTTCCTAGCCAGCATACTCACACATTGCTTCATTACTATGACTGTGGATATCCAAGCAAATGTTACCGTCTGACCAGATAAATCAAACTGTAACCTGATATCTAAACGCTCAAGTCTAAAAATGAGGTTCTAATAAACAAATCGTTTGTCCTGCAGTGTAAACAAAGCCTGAAAGTCAAGTTTGTCCATAAGGAGAAGAGCTAAGGGACATTCCTACTCTTGGTTTAGGCTTAATTTTTTCCAGTTACTAAGGCTGCATTCACGCAGCAGGTAAAAGTGGCCCAAATCTGATTTTCTTTTTTTGTTTGGCTGTACAGATTATCTTTTAAATGTGATCTATATGCAACATCAGTCTGAACAGATCAGCTCCTAAACTGACCTGCATGCACAAAAGAACAACGCTTCATGTTGCTTCACGCGGCTCATCCAGAGGTAAACAATCACGACTGCTAACGAACGCCAGTCGCTCCCGAACGGTTCAGTTCCATCTTTACCAGCATCACAGGAGCCATCATGAAGCTTCACTGACTGACAGCTGGGCTCGTCACCCAGAATGTGTTCGAGCCGTAAAAAGGGCCTGGTCACTTCTTTGGTTTGTGTCCTTGGATTCTTTAAACTTTGCTTTCAGACTTTTAACTGTTCTTTGACGCTGCAGCCTCGCTCTCCTGCGGCTGCGTTCGGCTTTTTCCTTTGGAAATCTCCTCGAACGTGGAGCGGTCTTCTAATTGTTTTGGTACAGAAACATCAGCATAATGTTCATGAGGTCTCAGCAGCGTGAAACTATGATGAATGTGGAGTTGGATTGACGTAAAAGTCCGATCTGGCTGTTCAGACTGAGTCGCATCGCCGCATATCGGATATGGATCGAATTTCAGTACCACATATGAAAACGTCTCAAATTCGAATTGAAAATGTCAGATTTAATGTTTTTTGCTGTTGGTTTTGGGACCCTGCTTTTAAACATGCATGAGACCCACATCCAGCTAATCATGTTCTGTAGAATCACCATAATGCTGGAGTCAGGTGTGTTGGAACAAAAACTCTGGATGAGACCAGATCTCCAGGTGTTGGGTTTGGCTTTCCTCTTTCAGATGTAATCCACAAAACTGAACAGAAGCCTATTGCTGATGGATTGCTGTTGCATTCAAGTAACAGAAGGCCACTCCAGCATTTTGGTCAATGAAACTCAGCCTGAGCCAAATCTGGTTTATTAAAAAAGCAGATGGCCTGAATTTCGAATCACGTCGCAACCTGTTCGCTCAGATGAAGTGGTGGCTAATATTATCTGTCTGTGATGGAGCCAAAATACTGTGTGCCCATAAATAAATGACAGAACAAATGATTATGTGAAGGTGTAATGATGATCCTGATCATTGTGCTTTTGTTATTTTTTGTGCTCTGTGTTCTGGCCCAGCTGGCACCGGTGTTAAGCTCATGGACAACAGCGAACCCCCGATGGTGGCGCAGATCGTGTCTAAAATCAAGGAATACGGTAAATAGGCTGTTAAATTTGTTATAATGAAGCCATTATTCTTTATGATTGTGTTCTAGCACTGAAGATGGAAAGCCTGGAGTAAACATAACATTGCAATAACTTGTATGGTCATCCTGTCGTGAAGTGCTGAGCAACAAAATCTAATTATAATACACAGTACTAAGCAGAAGTCTTAGGAAGCCAGGAACTATTTATTTTGATAGAAAGTGTGATTCTCCTAGTAAAAACACTGTATAACAGAGTAAATACAGATAAAATGAAATACAGTAAAACATAAAATGTTCTTGTTTTGAAAAAGTTATCTTGTTTAGGAGAACCCATGTTTGGTTCTTGATTTCTCACTGCTCTTAATAGGTTTGATAAATACATCAGCAGCAGACCTGATTTCATTTAATGAAGGATTGATTAGATTTCAATGTATTGTTTATTTGTGTTTATTCTTATATTGTGATTATTTCATCACATAATTGTTTGCTGTCTGGATGAATGGCATTACGTGTCATTTTTGTTTGCATAGTACTGTTTTTTAAAGTCTAAATAGAATTGAAATGGCCAGAAGTATGTGGACACCCCTTCTAATCATAGAGTTTGTGTTTCTGCCACGCTTATTGTTAACAGGTGTATAAAATCAAGCACATAGCCATGCAATCGCTGTAGACAAACACTGATAGTAGAATGGGTCGTACTAAAGAGCTCAGTGACTTTAAACATGGCACTATCATTGGATGCCACCTTTGCCAAAAGTCAGTTTAAGTTTCTGCCCTGCTAGGTCTGCCCTAGTCCACTGTAAGTGCCATTATTATGAAAGGATGCAACAGAAGTAGCAACAAAAGCTCAGCCACGTGGTTTGAGAGGTTCATGAAATGGGTTTCCATGGCCAAGCAGCTGCACAAAAGACTAAGATTACTATACTTTCCACATACCTTTGGCCATATTGTGTATGTAATATCGAGAACATAATCAAAAAAGGTTTTTTTTGCGCTGTGGAGGATGTGTGGGTTTTAAGATATGGTTTGCCCAATTTCACAACTTTTTTAGACTCCTCATTATGTATAGTATCTTTGTTGAGTAAGGAATGTTTATTTAGTGCTTCAGTAGGAAGAGACTTCTGTGGAAAAAGGCCAGTTTCCCTTGATGTCTTCCGAACCCACAGCCACAGATTTGCTAGTCAGTGGTATTTTACCTCTGAGATGCCTACTGGTCCATCAGGAAGGTCATGTTTGATTAGGGAATATGAAGAGTGATTTGTAATGTGTGTTTTTCTCCTCTCAGACTTCCAGAAGACGTACACTCAGGACGGTGTGTGTCTGACTGAATCAGGCCTGTGCCAGCTGCAGAGTCTGTCTGTACCCTCAGTCCGGCGCCGGCGGCCCAAACCCAAACTCAAACTCAAAATAATCAACCAAAACAGCGTGGCAGTGCTGCAGACTCCGCCAGATCCACAGTCTGAATTATCCCGCGAGGGAGACCTGGAGGACAGCAGAGGTACGCTCTCGCTGTGTGTCCTGACTTGTTGTGAAATCAGAGAAAAGCAGGTCTGACCTGTAGGAGCTCCTGACTGTGTTAAGTGCTTTTTACAAAAGCTTCATTTTTCATTTTTTGAAACCAAAACTGTTTCTTTTTGGTTACTGAGGTTGTGGTTCAGATTAAGCTTAGAATGTTACATGTAGATACTAACATATTGTCGCTGTCAGGGAAAAATCTCCATTTTAGATGATTTCATTTTTATCACAATTTGAAATCAGTAAGCGCAAATATATATGTGTGTATATATAAGTATATGTGTGCGTGTGCGTGTGCATGTATGTATGTATGTATGTATATATATATATATATATATATATATATTTGGTTTTTGACCAAAAATACATGTTGCTCTTTACATTGTGTGTAAATTTCACAATGAATGGACCAAAAGAAATTGATCAAAATGACTTTCGATAAAGTTGCCATTTTGGAGACATGAGGTTTTGTTCCGACAACAGCTATATATATGTTGAAATGTTATGTATAGGTGCTATAGGGACACGTATGACCGATGTATGACATAATATTAAAACAAGCAGTATAGTAGTGGCTAGCAGTGCTGCGTGCGTGTGCTTGATTTGTTTCATCTGCTTTAGCTCCTTGGCTCTGAGGAATATTGAAACGCTGCTTCCATTGATGTGAAGATCAGTGTGCCGTACAATATTTTTCTGCACTCTCCAAGTGCTCCTGGCACTTACGCAATCTAATGAAATAACCTTTTGAGGTTTTATTTTGGAAGAAGTGGATTTTGGCTCTGTTCAAATATCATAATCAAGGCAGGGGTGTTTTAAGCAGCTTGTTTTTACCATGATTGTGAGCCACTTTTGTGGTACTACAGTCCAGTTTCTGGCTCGCTGTTGATGGCAGGGGGAGGCATTTCAGATGCTCGGCCCATTCTGCAGTCTGATCAGCCTAGAGGGATGTTTACCTGAAGAAACAGAGAAAGATGCACTAAAATAGTGAAAACAATTTGATGCCATTATTACACAGTAGAAGATGTTTGTTTGAAAGGAGGCCAAGGAGACTAGAGGGAAAGAGCGGAGAGTTGAGTGAGAGTGAGGTGGAGAGGTTGAAGGGGTGGGGGCTGGGTGGGAGTTGGGGTCTGGCCATGTAATGAATTTGACTTGGAGAGTGAAGAAAAGCTTTGAAAACAGCAGTCAGCAAATTGTACCTGCCTTGGCGTTGCGGTGATGAGAGGCCAGCCTGATCTAAACGAATTAATGACCGGCCCATCTATCAGGCGGCAGCTGTAACAGAGCAGACAGGGGGCAATGAGGAGATTAACCCTCAAACTCCCACCGTCAAAAGTTTGTCTTGCCTTCTTTTGGAACTATTTATGCAGTGTTTTATTTTAAATACTACTTTTTACTTAAATAAGAAAAACCTGAAGGTTTTATCTGCACTAAACGGCAACTTCATATTCATCATAGTGCCTGCTTTGGTATAAAGAGCAGGTTTTCGCCTGAATTATCTTTTAATAGTAGGAATATGGAACTCTGAATATTTATTATTATGATAATTAGTTGACTGTATTATCACAATATTTTTAAAAATATGTTTTTAATATAACGTATACGCATTGTTCTGAATGTCACTCTGTAAAAGCAGTAAAGTGTTGGGTGTGCAAAAATCAGAGACCACCCTTCATTTATTAAATTTCAAGTCAAAACAGCCATTAAGTACAAGTTATTGATTTTTCAGTGTCAGTATAAAAGCAAAAAAAACATATTTAAAAGAAAATTAAACTAAATACAGTGTTAATTCGTTTGTGATTCAGTTTGTTCACCCTTCGTCACAGCCTCCATTCTTTTCAGGAGACTCACTTTCAGTTTTTCAAAGAAATCTGCAGGGATGTTTTTCCACACCTCCAAAGTTCAGTCTTAGAAGCTGGTTGATCATTTTCTGAAGTAATCAAACACATTCAGTGATGTTGAGGTCTGGACTCTGGGGTGCTTCTTTGTTTGATGTGTCCGTCTCCTTTTCTCAGTGAGGTTCTTCTTGAACAGCTACACATCCTTTCAGACCCACAGCGCTGAGTCGTCTTCTCACTGTGGAAGGATGGACAGAAACACCTGTGGATGTTTTCAGATCTGAAGCAGCTTGATTTTCTCCTCTCTCTCAGAGATGAAAGCTTTAAGTGCTGTTTATCTGATGGGGGCAGTTTTTTGAACCCCATATTTGGAAGCTCCTCTATTTTTTAATCACTCCTTCCTTATGAAGATAGATTCTTATATCTAATCTCCTCGTAAGTTTGTCTTTTAGTCATTGTAGATGCACATGAGAGAAATTTGAAGGCAGCTGAGGTGAGTTAGGGTAGTTGCTTATGTATGTTTGATAAGGAACATCATGTCAGTGCCTCCTTTGGGAACAGCTTTTGTTGGGATGATGCAGCTGTTACTGGTTGGTTTTAAAATTGGAAGGATGGAAGAGTTAAAGTGACACTAAGGTGGTCGGTCCATTGTTCTGAGAACACCAGCGGCTTCTTTGATTTGGATTTTTTTTGTCTTGATTTTCTCCTCTCTTAGAGATGAAAGCTTTTAAGTCCTGTTTATCTGATAAGGACAGTTTTGGTGGTCTGCCAGGTCTTGCACTATTGTTAGGAGTCCCATTTTCTCCGTACCTTTTAATCATGTTTTGTACTCCAGTTTTGGAAACTCCTGTTTTTTTTTCCACTCGTTTTTCTTTGACTTTCTCTTTCCTTATGCTAGTGGATTATCTTAGATCAAATTTCCTCAGAAATGTCTCCTGAAAAATAAATAACTTGTATTTGTTTTGGCTAAAATTTGAGTAAACGAAGGGTGGTCTCTGACTTTTGCACAGTAAGTCATCTACTAAAGGGGTTCTGTTACTGCATGTAGTTTTCGTTGTATTTGAGAGCTGTAGTTGATAAGAATGCAGAGGGTCACAGAGGGCTTGGCTTGGTGGAGCTAAACCACTGAGTCGAATGTGTTGAAGCAGGAAACGCTGCAGTGCTGAGGCCCCAAAGGCTAAACTCTGATAGAGCTCAGAGGAGTTGTGGTTCTTAAAGTGATTGTTGTGCGAAAAAACAAATGTACGCATTTCCTTTTTTGTGTATGAATGACTGAGTAACTGAGTCGAGTTGTCCTCGTTGCTTTGTGTGTGGCTGTGTTTCAGAGGGGGATCTGATGGACTGTGATGTGAAGTCTGACTCGAGCCCCGAGCGAGAGCCCAACGATGAAGAGCTGAAGGGGGCTGAGAGCGTCGACGGCATCAAGAAGAGGAAGAGGAAACCCTACAGACCGGGTACATATATATATTATACGCCCTGGAAAAGAAAGAAAGACAGTGACAGAGAGGAAACAAGAGGAATTAGGGAAGAGATGGGGTTAAGATGGAGGGACACAGATTGGTGGAAAAAGGTGGACGGAAGAGAGCTGTAAAGAGGAGGAGAGAGAAAAGAAAGATTAGTGAAGAAAAAGATGGGAGAGGCAGATGGATGGGGGAAAAGAAAGATAGAGAGTGTGGTGGAATAGTGGGAAAGAAAGAAAGATGGGGTATAGGGAGAAAGAGAGATAGAAAGACAAAGATGGGGTAGAGAAAATCAAACGAAGTAAAAAGATGTAGAGAGTGCTGGAAAAGTGGATGAGAAAGAAAAATGGGGTATTGGGAGAAAGATAAAAAGACAAAGATGGGGAAAAAAGAGAAAAAGAAGGAAAATGAAAGATGCAGAGAGGGCAGGAAAAGGGAAGATGGAGAGAGGGCGGGAAAAGGAAAGATGGAGAGAGGGAAGTAACAGGAAAATGGAGTGGGCAGGAAACAAAGATGAAGAGAGGACAGGAAAATTTGAAAGGGAAAGGAGAAAGATAGACTTGGTAAAGAAAGATGGGGTAGAGAAAGAGGGGAACAAGAAAAAGAAGGATAACAAGAGACCAGGAAAAGGAAAGAGGGAGGAAGAGGGACTCGTGAAGATGGGTTAGAGGAAAAGGGGAAAGGAACTCTACAGGGAGGCCAAGGAGAGAGAAGGATAGACTGTTAAAGACTTGGTGGAGAGAGAGAGAGAGAGAGGGAAACAGGAAAAAGAAATACAGAGGTCAGGAAAAGGAAAGGAGAAGGGGGGGAGGAATGGAGAGAGGAAAGGAAGTAGCGACAGGAATGGAGAGAAAAAGGGAAGTAGATGGACATAATTAGTTTGAGGAATGGAGAGAGGAAAGGAAGTAGAGAGAAAGAGGGAGAAATGCAGAGAGGAAGGGAAATAGAGACGGAAAGATGAAGGGAAGTAAAGAGAGGTGCACTTATCAGAAAGGACAGCTCCGCTGGAGTGTGAAATAGTACGGCTGCACACTCTGGACCCTAAATAGCATCCCACAGTGCTCTGCTCTTTAGAGCTCCTAGCTGAGGACGGCTGCTGAAAGGAACATTTGCTCTGAGCCTAGAAAAAGTAATCTCTTTACTTTTTCTGCTCCATTTTTGCCTGTTTCGTTTTTGGAAATACCTACAGCTCGATGTGAGCTCTCTTTAAATGTGGCGTGTCTCTTCAGTTGAGGCTGAATTTTGTGTTTTTTCTGTGCGAGCCTTATCTTCCGCTGACGAGCAGTTCTGGCTAAAATTGCAGTGCTAATTTTTTCTTCCCCAGAGGGATCCCTGTTATCGTGCATGGGCTTAAATTGTTTCCAAAATGAGATGCAGCGTGGTTTCTGCTGTTATTTTTTGCCACACAGACCTCTTACTTCCAAATTTTACATTCAGAAACATGTCTGAGTTTTTGGTGGAATTTCAGTCTTTTTAGGGTCTTCTGCAATGTTGAGTCATCCACAGTGTGCAGTCATCGCAATGGCGTACTCTGTGTAAAGTGTAGACTAAAATAATCAAGTTGCTTTGATTGGATTCCCAATGAAACAGTGGCTGTGACATTAAACTGCAGACTCAGGCTGTGTAACGTCATATCAGGAGAACCGTGCAGGAACTCCAGCCTGTCTCAGTTTTTTAATGCACCAAAGCAGAGTTGTGATGATTACAATAAATATTTAAAACAGTGCATTCAAATTTAAGTGCATCACCAATATTCTCGTATGTACAGTCATTCGTGGAAGCCAGGCAGTGACCAAAACTAGACATCCTTTCTATTTTTGTATTACTCATAGCTCATTTGCTTTTGTTTTATCTTTTAACACAAATGATCCAAAAAATCAATCTCAGAATCAAAAAATAGTGTTAAACCTGAAAATATAATTTACTGCACATTCCTAGACCAGAAGTAATCGGACGGTAGGTTTCTCCGTTTCTTGGGTAGCTGTGTGCTGTTGCGTTGTTGTCATTCGTGCACAAGAGAGCAAACAAAAGGTCTACAGTTGATTCTTGATGTGGCGTTTATATCTGTTGTCACAGATGACTGAAGAAGGGCTTTTATTGGATGTTATAAATAGAAAAAAAATCAGCTGGGTGCATAGCCAAAAGATTAGATGTGTCACACTGTTTGCTTCATTGAGAACTTGGCAATATCAGGTAGGCCTGTTTCCTTTATTACGTAATACCCTGATCGAAATGGTTTAAGCTGAGCAGTTTTTTTTTCATAGTTAGCTCTCAGGGTCATGTTTACATCACAACAAACAGAATATGAATTTGGTGTGTTTTGATCAGTTGGGTTGAGGCAAATAGATGTAAGTAAAAGCGAGCATAACACACATTTATTGAGGCTCATCATGGGTTTAGAGGGCAGCAGTGAGTAATGTTTGTTTGATGTTTGTTTATAACACCTTTAGAGGGCGGCGGTGAGTAACGTTTGTTCGATGCTTGTTTATAGCGCCTTTAGAGGGCGGCAGTGAGCGACGTTTGTTTATTTGATGTTTGTTTATAGCGCCTTTAGAGGGCGGCGGTGAGTAACATTTGTTTATTTGATGTGTGTTAATAACGCCTTTAGAGGGCGGCGGTGAGTAACATTTGTTTGCTTAGTGTTTGTTAATAGCGCCTTTAGAGGGCGGCGGTGAGTAACGTTTGTTTACTTGGTGTTAATAACACCTTTAGAGGGCAGCGGTGAGTAATGTTTGTTTGCTTGGTGTTTGTTAATAGCGCCTTTAGAGGGCGGCGGTGAGTAACGTTTGTTTACTTGGTGTTTGTTAATAATGCCTTTAGAGGGCGGCGGTGAGCGAGGTTTGTTTATTTGATGTTTGTTTATAGCACCTTTAGAGGGCGGCGGTGAGTAACGTTTGTTTACTTGGTGTTTGTTAACACCAGAGGGCAGTTTGGCCGCTCTAGACTGTACTTTAATAGTAGCATACAATGATCAGAAAAGCAGTTCAGTTGTTAATCTCATTAATTTATATGGCAGTTAATCATTAGCTCAAATTTCGTAATCGTGCTGGGCCTAATCACAAGTCCATGCAAGAGCACAGTGGTGGATAACAGAGGAATGCTTTCAGTTATGGAGAAAAACTGTTGTACAGACCAAGAACACCACACAGAATGTAGGAATAGATGCGTCCAAAAAACTGAATAATATGTCAGTGTGACCTCAGGATTTACCACAGGTTAGAGAGCACTAGTGAGCCACAATGCAAACCACAGGTAAACTGTCTAAATTTATTGTGCAGTTCCATCATATTTGGATCAGACTTATGTTTGATATTAGAGTTGTGTGGTTCTGTAGACTCTACTTGGCTTGTGAGGTTAGATTATGGCTGGAATTAAACTTTTTAGAAAAGTTTGACAGTCTTGGTTCTGAGACGTTTGCATTGAATCGATTACACAAGCAGCATTATTTACAGGTGCACAACTGTTGTTCCCCTCTGTTCAGGGACTGCAGTGGTTCGGGAAAAGTCTGGAAAGATGTAGTCTGACCAAAAAGGCTAATATGGTTAGCAGTATGTGGAACTGAGTATTGAGTAGCAGTGAGTATTCACTGGTGTACAGTCATAGATATGATGGACTGCAGCTAATGGTCGTTTCAGTGATGGCGGCTTGGTGCTTTACACATTTTTCATCAGGGGTTTTTTATTTCTGTCCTTCCTCTACAACAGAGAGAGAACAACCAAAGGACAAATCCATCGCAAGCTAATTTCATTAGATGAATTCTGCCAAATGCTGTATATAGTCCTAGAGTTGCTTTACCCTGCCAGACTAAATTCCCTATATATTCTTTTATGGATATTTTGGATGCACAGCAGCTATATCTTCATTTCCCCGTCCATAAATCAGCTAGAATGTCTCTCTGCGTCCAGGGGACGGTTTGCACGAGTACTTAAGAGGCAGGATGGGTGGGGGAGGTGCGGGACAGACTGTACCGATCTTGCTTGCCCGAAATAGGCTCACCTGAAATGGTCCCTGGAGTGGAGAGTATAGCAAAGATCCAAGATGAATCACCCCGCCGCTGGCCTGCAGCTCATGCGTCATCCTGAATAATGGAGATTAATGTCAGGATTTCACTGTCAGTGTCCCGCATTATTAATCCCTGACCGCATCCATCACCCACTTTGGAATTCCTACTTGCAGCTGCTTATCAACTTATATTGGAAATATTTTGGTCCCCACCCTTTTCTTCTCCCCAGGTATTGGTGGGTTTATGGTTCGTCAGAGGAGCAAGACCGGGCAAGGCAAAGCCAAGCGGTCCCTGATCAGGAAGGACTCCACTGGGTCACTCACAGAGAACCCCATGGGGAAAGAGGAAGGTAGGGTTCAACAAGTTCCAGTGGTTCTAGTATTTTCCCTGCTGTGACACTGCTTGATCAACCCATGATAATCACCGCATGAGGTAAAGCAATGATTCAGCGATAAGTCGAGCCCCAAACATAGTTGATCATCCAGACTTTTGTTGTCTGAAGTTTGCTTCTTTGGGTTTCCACTGGAGCTATGAGGCTAATGTAGCTAATATGTAATGGAAGCCTGTTCCCTGCTGATTAACATGCAAAGTGCATACCTAAATTATCCCACACTTAAATTGTTAAATAATCTCTAATAAACTTGCTCAAGTGGTCTCTGACACATGTATGGCATACTGTTATCCAAAAAACAGACAAATGTATGCCCAACATTTGGAATTCAAGATGGCTAGCAATGTAGTGTACTGTTGCCCATTCGCATGTACAGTATGGCGTACAGTGTCAAGAAAAACAAAAAATCAATTCTTTGTTGGTCAGCTTTATTTGGGGAACGGGGGGAAAGTTGTGTACATGTGATTTATGTTAGAACCGTTGCTGGTTAGTGAATGAGGTTCCAGTACAGGGCCTTAGACCCACTGGTCTAGATTAAAATTGGTTATGAATATAGAATCTCCATTTACAGCCCCCTCCTAATAGTGATAGCCTAATAGTGAATTAGGCTACTTCAGGTGCATGAATTGTTGACACAGGCATTCAAATGCATCGCCAGTAGCACCGGACACTCTGGAGCATCTCTCCTAAAATCTCTCCAAAGCTTTTAGACAAAGCTTTGGTCCAAACGTTTGGACATACTGTGTAAGTGCACAGTGCTAGCACCCCCGGAACAGTTGGGTTTTGGAGAGAGAATTCCTATTCATAGTTTGTGATCTTGTCCACTACTAGAATTTCTGTCTGAAGATGCATCTCACAAAGTCTCATTTTAATCTAGGGCTTGTTTTCATATTTATCTGGAAAAGCTGGCTTTTCATGTCTGTCCTAACATATGGTGGCAAAATTCTGATTTATATATACATTTCAATTTATTTGTCTGTCTGTATTGTACAAATTGTTCTGCTTTGCCCCTTTGGCTCACACTTTGCCCCTTGTTGCTCAGGCTGGAATGAACCTGACACCCCCGTAGATGAGACGCCCCCTGTGACCGAACCCTTGGAGAAGGTCAAGAAGAGATACAGGAAGAAGAAAACAAAACTAGAAGAGGCCTTTCCATCATATCTCCAGGTACGTCAGCATACCAGCTTCAGCTCAGTTGTATAGCGCCAGGCTTTTTGGTGTCTGCATATGTAAATAAACAATGCTAGATTATGACAACATACTGAACAACTCTGAATTATAGGTTTCTCTCTTATACACATATTAGCCTAGCTTTAACTCTTTAAACCTTATAGGTTTTTGAGCCCTCATTTCAGCCCCTCACTCTTATGCCTACATACATCTACCTTCTTTGTACACTGTGCATTTTATCCAGTACACTTACTGTATAGGTGCTCTTTGTGGTTCTACAATCACAGATTGTAGTTCATCTCGACTGCAGCCGAGGTAGTGCGAGTCCTCGGTAGGACTGTCCTATAAAGGCTCCTCTTTAGTAGCCTACTGGCCACACAAATGGAACAGTCCTAACGAGGCTGCATGGTGATGTCACCAAAAAGGTCCCACCTCTTGAAATTTTGGCGCAAAACTTTTGAGAGAACTGGTGAGAGAAAATGGAACCTGTTGCATTGTGTTTGTTGCTATGGTAGCTAATACGCCAACAAGCTTATGTAGTACGATAAACTACATATATACTAGTACTTTTAAAATATGATATATGGGCGAATGCTTTAATTAATCGTTTTACAATTATAAGGTAATGAAGACAAATTCAAGGACGTGAACAACTTACAGTTTAAAACAAGCTCTGCTCCAACATGTTCATTTTCCAGCATTTTAATGGCCATTTTCGCGTAGAGAACTGTGGGTGACCAAAGGCCTGAAACGATATGTCAGTTGCGTCCTCGAAATCACTCAGAACGTAGGCCGCATTTCTAGGCTGTATATAAAGGGTCCTTCACTTTGGAACAGCCTTCCATGATGTAGTGGCCAAGAAATGCAGCCTACCTTGGCTGTGGCCTAGGCTTTGGACCGAAGTGTCCTACGACTTAATGACTTCGGTGCTTTCGTGGTAGTCAGCTGATTAATAACAGAATAATAACCCTGCATCTTTAGGGGTTAAATAGGTAACAACCACAATGACTGGAATACCATCCAGAACTAACGTCATTTTGTGTCTCCGACACTAATAGTCCTTTATATATAAGCCTAAGCTATTTATCACTGCCGTCATAAAACTACAAGGTGTCCCTGCGGAGACGGTCTTTGGCTTGGCGTTAACGCGAGCAGATTCGCTCTCGTCAGTGCGAACACGTCTGTGGTGGCGAATGAGCTTGTGCAGCCTGTGCAGGGACTCCACACTGCTGCTTTCGAAAGGATCCTCATGCTCAGCGCTGGCGAGCCAGCCATGCATTAAGTGCACCAGCTGTCACTTTGGGCTTTTCTTGTTCTGCAAGCCTCAAATTAAACTTAAAGGTCCTCACCAGAGACATGACTTTAATCAATTATTTAAATCCCAGCGCATTAGGCTTTTAATGTTTTAGCGCAGCGGGGAGTAGTCAGATTGATAGTTTGGAGCTGTTAGATACGGTGAAGTGCTACAAAGTTACTTAACCGGGAGGCACATGCAAAGCTAATGTTTGTATGTTCCTGGATACGTTTGAAGGTTTGTTTTGAGGCATGTTTGCACGCTTGTTACGTAAGCGTTTGTATGTAGACGTGTGTGTACTCTTAAACGTCGTAAGGCTGGCATTGTGTAGATGGTATAAGAGCGATGGCTGTTTCGGGCCCTTTCTTACCCACAGGGAGTTAACTGTAGCTGGGAGAGAGTCTCACAGCTGGGTTCTCTCCGTGGGCTAGGGCTGCTAGGAGCTACATTTCTCTAAGCAATGAAAAGGTTCTTTTTCAGAGGGAATTTAGACAGTAGATCTATATTCTGGTCTCTTCTGTATTTATTAGCCTCTTCATTAGTGGCTGTGCCTGGAGTCAGGATTTCTGTATCCCAGTGTATTTTGCTCCAGATGGGTGTATCATGTATTTGCGCAGTGCATCCTGGGTATCGTAGTGAGAAAACACTGATGGATAAACAGAAAAAGGACAGTTCCTGTGAAACTGATGAGGCTGAGTGGATGCAGTACTGTGCGATATGCAGAATATTACACATCATGACAAATAATTTAATAAATTAATTAATAAGTTAATTTTACACCGCAAAAGAAATTATATCTTGGCAAGTGAAATTTTTTTAGATCAATAGTCAATTTCGCTGTGTTCGGAACAAACCTTGTATCTCCATTTTTGTCGTTATTCAGTTTTTGGCATAGTTTGAAAGTGTCTGTTGCCCTTTATATCGTGCATAATTTTTATGACGAATGAACCAATAGAAATGACCCAAAATGACTTGGTAAGACGTCTGGTTCCATTGACTTATATTAAAAGTAAAGTATGTTTTTTCCTTCTACTGTAAAGTTGCCATTTTGGAGATACAAGGTTTTGTTCCAACAGCAGCGATATATCTGGTATTTCTAATTTTGTGATTGAGGCTTAGTATGAGATTGTTTAACTTATATCTCAGTGTTTTATTTGTTGTGAGTGATTTTAAGTTAAATTATCTCACTGGCAGATGTTGGCAGCTTGTAAGAAATAAGCTTGAAACAAGCAATAAAATCTGCCAATATAGTGAGATTATTTGACTAAAATAAATTAAAAACAGGTTTAAAAATAACTTAAGATTTAAGATAATTTGATATGTTTTGCAGAGGTGGTGTCGCTTATTGTTTTTACAGATTTTGTTGGTGTTTTTGTGCATGTTGTCGACTAGTGTACTCTACTGTTTTCTGGCGTATTTGTATGTATATGGAGATGCTCCATTTTGAGCACTCTGAAATCTGAATTTGCTGTTTGTGTGTTTGTGGTGCAGGAGGCGTTCTTTGGGAAGGAGCTGCTGGATAAGAGTAAGCAGAGCAGGCAGGCTTTGCAGATGGGGCCAGCAGAGGACGAGCCAGCTCACAGCAAGCTCCACAGCACCACCAGCAGCGCCAACAGCAGCTTCCTCGACCCCTCCTCTGACCCTTTGCTCAGCGCTGCAGCCACGCCCATCAGCAAAGCTGGGACACTGCGTATGTTCACTTACATGTTCACCATCATCTCTCTCTGAGTCGCTCAGCCTCTCACTGCCTTTTCTTACGCTTATTCAGTCTTTTTAAAATGTCTCTTTTCTGTCTTGGACCCAATCCCATTTCTTATTTTAACCCCTACCCCTTGTTTTCGAGTGTCAACTTGACCCTTGTAACTGAGTTACAAGTGGTAGTGGTTGAGATCTTCCCTCTGAAATGGGACCCTCAAATAAAAAGAGCTTTACTTCAATAACAGCTACTAGCGCTGCTCTGTAGGCGACCCTGCCAGTCTGCAGTGACAGCAGAGGAGGGTAAAGTTCAGCTCCTCACTGCTGGGCTTTAGTTACATTTAGGGCATCATATGCCTTCAAAGAGGGGGGCAATTATTTCTTATTGCCCACCCCTAATTCTTCAGTGATATGAAGCTGAAGTCAGATATTCACCAGTTTCATGTTCACATTGTCCCGTTCCACCTTAAATGCAAATCTTACATTCTGGCACCTCAGGAGTCAGAACTGCTGCACCGTTTAAGGTGGAATGGGAAGTTTAGCTGCCAAGACATCAGCAAACTACTAGCGATATTTTTATGCTTGCTATGAAGAAAAGGACCATAATACATGGAAACGACATTAAACTAAGATAATACGATGATTTTTTAAATTTTTAATGGAGAAAACTTTCACATTTGTGGGTTTCTTTGGTCGCTTGCGCAGCCGTCTTTCCGTTTTTTCTTTTTCTTTTTCATAACACTCAGTTTGAAGTGTTTCTCTGAAAAACCTCCGTTTGGAGGGCCATGTAGCTCTAACACTTTGTCCTACCCCTCTATCTCAACAAACATCGGGACACCCTACCCCCTAGACGTGAAAGCGCAAAATGGAGGGGTAGGGCTAAGTGGTAGGGGCGAGGGGTGAAATGGGATTGGGCGTTATTCTCTCTCTTTCTCTACACCCCCCATATCTTTCTTCCCTCTCTTGCACTCTCTGTCTCTTCTTTCTTGCTTTCCTTTTCTCTGTCATGCTCTCTCTCTCTCTCTCTCTCTCTCGCGCTCTCTCTCTCTCTCTCTCTCTCTCCTCTGTGGTATACTTTCAGTCATATGTAGTGTCACTCAGGAGCGTTTATAGAGGCCTGTGGATTCATTGTGAATTGCTCACCATTGTTTGGGGAAGAATGCAGCCTTTCCCTAAAGTGCTGCCACGTCAGGTCACATCTTACTGCTGTGGGTTCCAGTGAAGTCTGCAGGGAGGGATAATGCACTTTATCAGTTCATATCTCTCTTCACAGTCTCGCATAGCATAGCATAAAGCCAAAACACTATCTTATCCTACTGTGGAGCTCTGGCAGGCGGACTGAGGGGCTTGTTTTTGTTCTGTTTTACCAAGGGAGAGAAAAAAAATGCACATTACCAATATGAACTTTGGACCATATGGGTTTTTTTTTTTCCACTTTGATCCCTACAAGTACATTCTTGAAGGGAGAAGAGGCTCGTTTCAGCCACCTCATTCTCCACTCTGTCTCCTCATCCTCAGTTCTGTCATCCCTCATTTAAAACCAGATCCACAGTCCGGCCCTCGTGTCCAAGCCCTCGGCGCTAGCTGTGCCTGAACTGCACTTAAAACCCAATTTACCAGCTCTTGTCCTCTTTCCTGAATTCCCCGTCTGGCTGCTCTGAGAGGATAGAAGCCCAGCAATCAAAGGGCTGGGTTTTGAGGCCTTGCTGGCGTTCTTTGGGGGAGCAATCACTAAGCCATTTGCAGGCTTTCAGGGCCACTTGTTTGTCCTTGGAGATTTTCTTTTCCCATAGACACAAAAGGGTTGAAGCTATCCTTTAACTAAACTCAGTGTGTATACTCTGCGGATTGTGTCTCTCAGTTTAACCCCTTGATGCAGCGATTTCTCAGCCACAGTTGTGGTGAAGCCTTTCTGAAAATGTTTGTTTTATTCACAGTTATTTATTTAATTGTTTATTTAAGGGCTGTCAAACAATGTAAAATTAAAAATAATCTTAATCACATTCGTCTTATTTGCTAAAATTTTACCCTGATGAAAGATTTATTCTTTTAATAAGCAGTGCCTTTTGTTTGCTTTCAGTAATTCAGTAATGAGTTCAACTCAGAGTTCACATTAACCTGAACTCATGTGATGTCCACAGAGTAAATGCAATTTCAGGTTTATCAGTGACTTTCAGTGAGAGCTGCAGTTGTTGCACGTTCCAACCAATGAGTTAATAAATCATTTTTATAATAAAGATACAGTCGTTGGTTCCAACTCGCTCTTGTTCATCCATCTCATGGATTCTTGTTACAGTGGAGACTCTCGAGGGAAACTGGGGCTTCGCTCTTTACTTTTAGTTTTCTTAGTATGCTGCTTATTGATTTACTGAATTTACATTTACGATATTTAGCACATACTTTTATAAAGCGATCAGCAAAAAGTGCTTTGTTGTCCGGTCTGAGAATATATCCTAACTTAGGGTTGGCAACATGCAGCTCTTTTACTGTCCTGTTGTGGCTCCACAGCAAAATTAGATTTTTAGGTAAAAATAAAATAAAATAATCCTCCTTTACAGTAAAATAAAGCTCTGCTGATCGTTCAACACAGTTTAACAATAAATGGTCTTAAACTCTGGAGTTAGAACTGCTGATTCACCCTTTAACCCTGAAGGTTGGCATGCAGACTGCTGGTCACCATAGCAACAGACAAGTCTTGCCTAGCTAGTAGGTGAAGAGAGAGATTTAAGATGAACATCAATAATTTGGAGACAAATGGACTTATTTGCGTTTATAAGCACTCAGCTGGTTTCCTGATACGTTTAATCTGCAGTGAGAAACTTTCAAACACTGAAGTCAGCTTCTCCATCGCCAGCTTCTTGTTCTGCTGCACCATTTAAGGTGGAACGGGAAAATACTCATTCATTCTCATTCACCAGCTTCTTGTTCGAATTTTCCCGGTTGGCGAATGAGAAGCTGACTTCAGCTTCGTGACTTTTTAGTCATTAGTTCATTCTTTAGAAATAATTTTTCCGTTCCACCTTAAATGGTGCAGCAGGCACGGGAAAATTCGAACAAGAAGGTGGAGAATGAGAAGCTGACTACAGTCTCGTAAAAAAATCTAACTTGGGAGACATTTTACAAAAAACTGTTCCACTTTTGGTAATGTTTCCTGCTGGAGATGCGAGAAAAGTGGCCATAGCTGAGCTAAAGCTTAAAGCAGAGCAAAGTAAGTCTGTGTTTTCGTTTATATAATATTTTTTAGCCTATAAAATGTTGTGGCTCTCAAGGTGGTTTGATTTTTGTTGAAAGGACAAAATGGAGTGCTAGATTAGCATTCCTTTAAATGCTTCAGTTTATCTATAGGTCTCCTGTGAGCACTGTCAAGGTGCTGAAGGTTTCCCTTTATAGGCCATTTAAAAGCTTTCTTTGAATGAGAGGGCTACAGTCATGGATTCTGTCATAGCAACATAGACTGAGCTGCAGCTGGGCTTCAGCCTGCACTGCAGTGGATGGTTAGAGGGGTCAAACTAGGTAAATGTGTAAATGGCATTAAAAATATTAGTGGCATTAGTATTTAATGTGTTAACTTTGACAGCCCTTATTTATTTATATTGCCATTGTTTTGAATTTTGGTTTTTGCTTTTCCCCTTTGAAGCTATTTTAATCTGACTATAACCAATATGTTACTATATTGGGGTCAGCTTTTAAGTGTACTTACTTTAGTTGTATGCCTTACCAAACTTTCAACTTCTACATCTAGCACGTCAAGTTCTTCCAGTTCAGTGGTCGATTTTATTATTATTATTATTATTTTTTAATCAAGCTACTAAGATGCTAATAGGCTCAGAAACCCCTATGTTCTCAATCTCCAGCCAGTGCAGAGGACCCTTTAGCCGAGCTGGTTCTGCAGTCAGACGATGATCTCCTGGGAATGCTGTCGGATGACCTGGTCAAGCCAGGCCCAGATTCAGGTAGAACCCCCATCCCCGAGTTTAGTCTCCAGCTAAAAGTCTCCCAACTCTGTCCCCTTTCTGCAAATGCTCTAGCTAACACACTCCCCTGCTGGAACGGTCAGCACCATCCTCGTGTCATCCTTTTTATGAGTTTTACCTTTTCCTCTCACACTGTTCACATATTTTATTGCATATTTTTGCTGCATTGTTTGCTTAGTTTCTCATTGCATGCTGTGCATCTTCTTTTTAAACATTTGTTGTTTGTTTTTGCTTTGCGATGCTTTACTTTGGGTTTTGATTTGTAATGCTTTGGTTTTTATCTGGTTTGGGTTCTTGTAGGTCTTGATTTATGCCCTTTCCAGGTGGACAGCTCCCCCTCTCCGTTCGGTAAGCGCTCGGTGGCAGTTGTGGCTGTAGGAATAGAGCTGTCCCCTTCTCTCGCTCTGGCGGCCCCCCAACGTTTCTCTCACACTTCCTCTGTGCATGCCTCTGTTCTTCTCTAATCCTCCCTTCCTTACACATGTACACGCGTGCATTCACGCTCTTCTCGTGTCTCCTGACTTCTGTCCTTTTGATTTAACTAACTACTCGTGAATTGCATGCTCCTCTATGCCGAGTTTGAAGCCAAGTTGAGCTAAACTGCCTTAGAGTGATGTTGGGTTTGACAGCACCTCCCCTTGACACCTCTGAGTGTTTTAGGGAGACGTGGTAAGTGGTAAGCGTAGACAGACTGAGTGAGGGGCAGCTTCATAATTAATTTCCTGAGTTTCCCAGCCGGTAACCTCAGCAGAAGTGCAGAAAAAAGGTCAAGTTAAAGCGCAAGTTTCATTTCACACAATTTAAAGAACCTTTTGCTGGAAAGGACACACTCTCCTAGTTGGAGTTTTTTTTGTCACAGAGGGCCAGGTAAGACCAGTGTCCTAGGCCTTGATGAGAGACAGTTATGCGATTTTTGTGGTTTTATTTTTCATTTTTTAAAAAGGTTACAAGTGTCAGTACAATATTGTGCAAAGGTCAGAGACCATCCTTTTATTTATTTATTTATTTGTTTATTTAATTTCCAATCAAAACAGCCGTTAAGAACAAGTAGTTCATTTTTTAGTGTAAGGAGGGAAAAAGTAGAAACCATTTAGCAGAAAATTACACAGAAGCCTCAACAATTAAATATGGTATCAGTTTTTAAGTATTTACTGTGTCACTCTTTACCTTTATTCCAGCTTCCATTCTTTTCAGGAGACTCACTTTCAGTTCCTCAAAGAATCTGCAGACACACCTCCAAAGTTCAGTCTTAGAAGCTGGTTGATCGTTTTCTGAAGTAATCAAACACATTCAGTGATGTTGAGGTCTGGACTCTGGGGTGGTCAGTCCATCGTTCAGCTTCTTTGTTTGATGTGTCCGTCTCCTTTTCTCAGTGAGGTTCTTCTTGAACAGCTACACATCCTTTCAGACCCACAGCGCTGAGTCGTCTTCTCACAGTGGAAGGATGGACAGAAACACCTGTGGATGTTTTCAGATCTGAAGCAGCTTGATTTTCTCCTCTCTCTCAGAGATGAAAGCTTTAAGTGCTGTTTATCTGATGGGGGCAGTTTTTTTAACTCTATTTTTGGGCTCACTCCTTCCTTATGAAGATAGATTCTTATATCTAATCTCCTCGTAAGTTTGTCTTTTAGTCATTGTAGATGCACATGAGAGAAATTTGAAGGCAGCTGAGGTGAGTTAGGGTAGTTCCTTATGTGTGTTTTATAAGGAAAATCATGTCAGTGACTCCTTTGGGAACAGCTTTTGTTGGGATGATGCAGCTGTTACTGGTTGGTTTTAAGGTTGGAAGAATGGAATAGATAAAGTGACGCTAAGGTGGACAGATTAAATACTGATAGTTCAGAAATGACACTTGGTGTTTGAGGCTTTTGTGTAGTTTTAGGTAAAGATTGGAAAAATAAATGTCATTAATACTTTTTATTATTTTGTTCAATTTTATTCTGACATTGATAAATGAAGAACTTAATGGCCTTCATGGCCGTCTTGACTGGAAATTAAGTAAAATAAAGGGTGGTCTCTGACTTTTCTGCTGTTTGTGTGGTCACCCCCCCCCTTTTAAAGTCTTTTTGTTTTTCCACTAACTGAATATAATAGTCTTGCCAAGAATTCCTGAGCGCAATCTCTGGCCTTTTGATGTTGATGACAGCATTTATTATGATTAATCATTGCAGTCGCCTACTGTATTTTTTATTGATTAAGCCCTCATCTATTCTAATATGGCAGGATACAAGATGATGAAAGAACGGCTATTTTTGGTGCGGTACAGTTTTTTTCACACTTGGTTGGACAGGCAACACAAATTAGGTTCCTGTTATTCTTGGAAAATTGAGTTAAGGGGAGGAGAGGGAGAGGTGGAAGAAACATAAGCATGTAGAAAGATTATTTTACCATGACATGAAGGATCGGCCCTCGCTCTCCTCTCCCTCTCTGGTTCTTATTTTTTCTGAGCTCTCAGACTCAGTAGAAAATAAATTGCTTGTCAACACTGATTTTAGCCTCTCTAGTTTGACAGCTCAGGATTTTTTTTCCCACATGATCTTTTTTCAGATGGGCTTTGGTTTTTTCACTAGATGTCCTTGTCTAAGCATGAAACTAATGAGTACTAAATAGCCTTTCTTGCCCCCAGCTGGTTTGGACATTGGGGCCATCCCTGACGATCCCTCAGGCACCCCTCAGCCTGCCCCTGCCCGGGGCCCTCGGCAGCTACAGGAAGAACCTCTGGATGTGATTTTGAGCCCTGAACTGGACAAGATGGTGACTGATGGTGAGGACTCAGGCCTTAGCAAGCTTAACTAATTGCTAAAAAAGAGAACAGTTTGTAATCCATGTTAATCCAAGTAAAAAAAAAAAAAAATCTTAATTTCAACACTCTTGGCTTAAACCGAAATTCAGGGGACACTGAGCCGAAAACCAAAACCGGTTTTATTTTTCTTTTTTCCACTATTGAATGAAACAAACTACAAGTTAATGATGAAAAACGAGCTTTATTATTGATTATAGGTAAATACAGTTAACATAAACTTAATTAATTAGAACAGTATGTACCTACAAAATCCTACAAAAAAACAAGAGTGCATTCAGTACAGTGAATTTCAGTATTTTTAGTTACACGTTTTTGTTTTTTTTTGTTTTTTGGTCATATTAAAAACTGAGGCTACAGATGGGACTTTCATTTCTGCTTCTGTTTTGCAGTATTCTGTGTATCGAGTAGGATGTTGTGTTTTCTGGTGATATCAAACCTGTTGTGGAGAAGTTATTGGATGTATCTCCTCTCGATAGACAGCTAGTTATCAAATTAGCTTTGTCTAATGTTCCTCATCGAAACCAGGAAATAGTTTCACATGGCCAGCGTTTTTATTGTTGATCTGCTGTTGTTTTTCTGAAGGCAGCCAAAGAAATTAATGTTATTATCTATGCAAGGATTTGAACCCCAGTGGCCAGCATGCAAAGCTACAGCATGACTCACTACATCATTTAATCACTACTTAGTACTTTATGACTTCATTTAAGAGTCTTCTGTCCCTTTTTTGACAATTACACAAAGTTGGTGTAATTATTAACACCCTTTATTGCTGATGTTGTTTGGTTGTTGTTCAAAATAACCACCTTATGGATTGTGATGCTTAATTGAAGAGATTATCAGAGCTTTATTGATGGGACGTCCAGCCCTTTGACATGTGGCAGGTCAGCACTGCTGAGGCGAACTGCTGGCACCCACCAGAAGAAGTGCTAAATTTCATAGATCCCAAACTGACCCACAGGCTCTGTTACCAGGGTGAGGTTGAGCCTCATCTTGCTGAATTAGATCTTGAAGAATGGAGGCCACAGTATATTATATAGTTATTATATGCACTAAACAAGAGGACACTTTTACACTCTGAGGACAAATGGTCAGGGGCTCAAGCCTCCCCAGGGTCCATTTGTGCACATACCTGGTCTAATGACCAGCTTTGGAGAGTGAAGGAAAAGCATTGTTTTCAATCACTAATTTTCCTTACCATTAAAATAATTTGTAAAGTGTTAGATTGTTGTTAGACCTTGACAGAGTCATAGGTCTGTGTGTTTGCATAGTAATTTGACCATTTTTGACCAAAACTTTTGTGCTTCTGTACAAATTTCCTAGTGACACAGAAGCATAATTTGCTAAAAACTGTGCGTTGTTGATACAGCTTTATAAACTGTATATCGGTTTCCTCTTCAAACATATTCCACTAAGTATGATTATCACTGCTTAGTCACTTTCTTTTTCTGTCAGACTTACGATTTTCTACGAACCATTTAGATGCAACATAAATATACTGTTCTGATTAAATATCCACTTAACATTTTTAATATATGTATTTATGTGTCTGATTTTTTTAGGGGCCATTCTCAGCAAGCTTCAGATTCCAGGTTTGTACCCGTTCCCTTTTCCCTCCACGTTGAATTATTGTTCTTTGGCAAATTGTGTAAAAAATGATTAATACATGATTTCACAAGCGTAACATGGCACTGGTACCCATGTGTCCGGGTTGTACATAATGCAGTGCACCATGGCAGCCTTAAATGTTAACTAGATGTCCTCTCTCCATTTAGAGCTGGAGGGGAAAGAAGTGGAAGACCTGTTTACAGCAGTGCTAAGCCCAAGCACCAGCCAGTCTCCTCAACTAGCACAGCCTCCCAATCCTGTCCCCAATGTGCCAGTCATGCCAATGTCACACAAAGGCCCAGGTATGCCTTAGAGCTGTCTCTTCACTGTGTACTCATGAATAGACAAGGCAGTATACAACACACACTTCTGAATTTGCTGCTTGGCAGTGAGTTGTTTTTGACTTCCCTCCTTACCCTGATAATTTGAGTCTCTAGTTTCACAGAACATCAAATCTCATTTCGTTTCAGTTCCGTTAATGTGTTTACAAATGCAAGTTATGTTTGCACGCGCATTCATTATGACATGAGTAAAATCATCAATTTCAGCATGTAGATGTGCAGCTTTCTGTGTCGTTATCTCTCACTATATACAAACAAGGGTCCTCCTTTCTTGTTGAATTCACGTTTTAGTGCGATAGTGTAAACTCGTTTAGAAAAGAATTTGAATCGCTAAAAGCTTATTATTGATTTGTTTAATTAGAGTAACAGTGAAGCATGACGGTGTGATTTATTTCTATTCATATGTTTTGTTGTTTAAAAAGGTAGTTTGTGACACAAACTGAATAAAAATCTGAGAAAAGAGTAGATGAAATAGTTTTTGTCAGCATTAAAGGGTCAAAAAGAAACAAGGACCTACTTCTTAACACGTTTGAGAAGTAGGTACACATGAGACAGGAACTTGAAAGAATGCAAAAGACTAAGATGATTGATAAACATTTCAAATCTGACATTGTGTAATAAAGTGTTGCACACATCTGAGTGTTCGAAAACAGCAATAAATAATAAATTTATTATGTTGGATGAGTGACTAAAGAGAAGGCATCCTTGATAATGATCCGGTCAGCTGCGATGATGTGTGGAGCTTTTTCATGGGTGCTCAGCACAGAAATTGAAACCCCACCCCTCCCCAACTTATGTTTTAAAACATGACATACCCTGTGCAAGTACTTTTCAGCTACAGTACATTTTGCTCCATAGACAATAAACAAAAACTGTGCTCGAGAGTTTGACAGTGTTTCTGAACATCCCCTAACATAACATAATGCACCTAATACTCAGTATACCAAATACCTTCATGGTTACAATTGCAGGTGATGGTGGAATGTTCCCTCGGATGCCTGTAATGAATGGTATGATGGGTGCAAACCCTGTCTTTCCTCCGAATGCCATGATGCCTGGAGCTGGCGTTTCTGGCACTTTCTCTCCCATCCGGATGCCTTTCCCTGAAGGCATGAGGTGAGCCTGAATTTGTGTTACCTCATCAGCTAGAGAAGACGCATTAGCTCCAACACATCCACTCATTTGAGAAACACTGCAGTGAAATATCAGTCAGTAGTGAGAAAAATAGTTAATTTTTTTTTACTCTGATTAGAGTGTAACAGCTTGAAATGCATTTCCATAGGGAGAAGAAGTTTGGCCAGATGGGGAGTGATATGGTGGGTCCCTGGAGTGCTCCTGTTCCCATGCCTGGTCCAGCCCCTCCAGCGGAGGCAGAAACAGACACCATGTCCAATGCCCAGAGGAGTACTCTGAAGTGGGAGAAAGAGGAGACTCTTGGGGAGATGGCCACTGTGGCGCCTGTCCTCTATACCAATGTCAACTTTCCTAATCTGAGAGAAGAGTTTCCAGGTGAGTGACTATTCCTGGAATGACTGAGTGGATGCAGCTGATGTTCAAAGACTAATTGACGTACTTTCTTTCACAGATTGGTCAACTAGGGTAAAGCAAATTGCAAAACTATGGAGAAAGGCTAGTTCGCAAGAAAGAGCCCCATATGTGGTAAGAGCATTTTATCATTGTTTTAGGATTTGGATTTGATCATATTATGTGAAATTCATTTGTAATCTTGAAAGTCTTGATTTTTTTCTTGCTTATTTCTACCTTCCAGCAAAAGGCTCGGGATAACCGAGCAGCCCTTCGCATAAATAAAGTTCAGCTGTCTAATGACACTATGAAGAGACAGCAACAGCAGCAGCCTCCTGACCCTTTTGATCCCAGCATCCCCATGGACACTGAGCTGCTCTTCAAAGACCCACTGAAACAAAAGGAGTCTGAGCATGAACAAGAGTGGAAGTTGAGACAGGTGATTGACAGCTCCAGGATTTTTTTTTCCTTCTTTTTAGTTTAATGCTTTATGTGGGACCAGGCTGTGGCAGTATGAAGCTGGGTTTCTCAACCCCTGATCAAGGCTCTAACAATAAGAAAATTTTGATGAATTGACTTTGACTTTGTACACTTCGTGACTAACAAACTAATTCATGAAGTCATCGTGTGCTTTGCAAGCTTGGAACGGGAGGGGGCTATACCCACATGAATTTAGAGCAAAGTTCATGTTTAGGTCAATTGAATCTGGGACCCAGTTAGTGGAAAATTCAATTGTTTTTGATCAGCGTCAGCACTAATTTGGTTATTGTTATATGTGCCCCATGTGGCCTGGAAAAAAAAAGTGCTTTGAGTTTAAATGTTGAGAAACCTTAGAATGAAAATCAGCATTATTTTAAATGTTTTCTACAAGAATAATCGAGACATGCATGATTTATTATGTGTAAATTGAACATGGCCTATAGCAGGATGTTGTGTAAATGCATGGTTGAGTGGTCATTTCTTTATTTACGTTTGGCATTGCCGTGCAGTCTACTAATTCTTAATTTGCATTGAAAAGGGAGAGTTAAATCAGATGTGGGGACCCCTTAAGAAGCAGCAGGAAAAGGTCCCAAAAAGCAAAGGCATAAAATCAACAAATAAAGACGTCCTTTTTGGACATTCCAACCAGGCAACTATAGCTGCAGGATGTGGAAAAAATTCTCTGGTAAGATCCCAAGGCGAGGCACTGTTCTGGCATTCATTTGCCAAGAACCAATAAAGAAAAGTTTACAAGGTGCAAAAGATTTAGTAGGTGGAGTTATAGAAGGAAAAGTTGGTATATTGACAATTCCCTTTGGCCTGAAACATATAGTAATGGCCTTTACATTTCTCATCACCATATTATTATGCACACATTCACATTTTCCCTGCATGGCTTAACAACTCATTTTTAAAATTCCAAAGCTTATTTAGAGATTGAAGGAAAGAGAGCATTCTTAGCACCATGTCATCATGAAATTAAAATTCAGTGCATTCTAATGGCTTCATCAACTGAAGTGTTTTCCCTTCCTGTTTGTTTGTTTCCATGGCAGCAAATGAGACAAAAGAGCAAGCAGCAGGCGAAGATTGAGGCCACTCAGAAGCTTGAGCAGGTTAAAAATGAGCAGCAGCAGCTTCAACAGCAGCAGCAGCAACAACAGCACCACCAGCAGCCACAGTTCAGTGCCCAGTCAGGTGGAGACAGCCTTAACAGTGGGGATCAAAGTCCCATGACACCCCAGCACAGTAGTGGGGACAACACATCCCCTCTACAGCCCACAACACTTAAGGATAGCTTTGTGAGGCCCCAACTTCCTGGAACGCCAACCTCAAGCTCATCTTCAGATGATGTATTTCTGCGTCCCCATCCACCACCGCCATCGTCTTTGGCAAAGACTCCCACTCAGGACACCCAGTACTCACAAGGGTCATCATCACAGCCTCAGTCCCCTCAGATGTTTTCTCCTGGTTCATCTGGTTCCCGTCCGTCTTCTCCATGGGATCCATATGCTAAGATGGTGGGTACCCCTCGACCCCCACCATCTGGGTCAAGTACACCTCGTAGAGGTTCAATTTCTGACCTGCAAGAGAGGGGCAGGCCCTCTCCAGCCCACGAGTCTTTTGGCTCACCCACATCTGCGAGTGCTGATATGTATGCAAAGCCGCCAGACACGCCCAGGCCATCTGACCCATTTGTGAAACCCCTTGGTCCCCCAAGGCCTGGACCTGTATCAGAACAGCAACAGCAACAGGGTAGGTACATGTTGGCTAATACGGCATCAGGAGACAATTTTACCAGGCCAGGTCATAGATCCGAGGCTTACCAGCGGATGCCACACAACCGTATGGTGCTTTCCGACCCTTACTCAAGGCCACTGTTAACACCCATCCCAGGAAGTAATGAATCTGGCTCTGTGCCACTCTTTAAAACTCCCATGCCTCCCTCACAGTCTCAGCAAGAATCTTTTGGTACAGGACAGCAAGGCATGAGACGTGGACCGCCTGATGGCTTCTCTCAGGGTCAACAAAGTGACCCTTATGCACATCAGCCTCTAACTCCTCACCCATCAGTGGGAGATGCTTTTAGCAATGAAGGCAGAATCATGCGTCAGATTTCTGGAGGCCCCTTTACCCAGCATTTGTCCATGAGCAGGCATTCTCAAAGGGATCCATATGCACAGGCACCCTCTACACCTAGACCAGATTACTCTCAGCAAATGGCTGATCCCTATGCTCAGCCTCCTGGTACTCCACGACCTCATGACTCATACGTCCAGCCACCTGGTACACCAAGGCCACATTCCGATCCATACTCAGTGGCACCATCAACACCTCGACCTACTTCTATGGAACAGTTTTCTCAGTCACAGCCAGCTAGCCGCAGACAATCTCCTTCTCATGCTATGGATCCGTATGCACAAATGCCAGGCACTCCAAGACCAGCCCCAGGGGAGAGATATCCTAAATCTCCAGGCAGTCAGAGAAACACAGATACGTATACACAGGCTGTTGGAACACCTAGGCCAGTCAAATCAGATCCATACGACCAGCCACCTGGAACACCAAGGCCAGTTTTCACTGACCCATACGCTCAACCTCCTGGAACCCCAAGACCAGCGCCCATGGTTCATCCTTCAGATCCATTCAGCCATCAGGCTTCAAACAGAATCCAAGATCCATTTGCTCGTCCGACTGGCCCAGGTTCTCAAACCCCAAAACACCCTGGCATTTCAGATGAAGGTTTCACCTTGCCACAGACTAATCCTAATCAAACACCAATTCATGACCCCTTTGAACAAGCCTCTGTAACTCCATGTCCACAGTCAGGGGAAAGATTGGCTCATGGTCCATCATCTACAAACTGCTCTTCTGATGCTCAAAACACCATGCAGCCAGCACTTGGGGACACGGAGGAAAAACTGAAACAGGTATGATATTTTGAAAAGGTGATTTTCTTCGTGTTATTTGAGGCGCATTTAAAAAAGCTGACTATATGCTTGTTCTTTTTCTGATGGTATTCTTTTCTGTTTTCCAATTAGCGTCAGAGATTACGACAGTTGATCCTGAAACAGCAGCAGCAGAAGTGTGCCATTAGACAGGAGAAGGGACTTCAAGATGCTACTGGCACTAATGCCCCTGGGACTCCAGTGCACTGGTCACAGGAAGATTCTGGTCCACAGAGTGACATTTTTGGCCGTCCTCCACCTCCATACCCTGGAACTTTGAGAGCTTCACCAATGCAGGGAGGTCAGAGATTTCCTGGACCTTTACTTGGTGATCAGCGAGCACCATTCACTGATGAGACCCAGTGTCCCCGACCTCCATTTCCCAGAGACATGAGCAATATGGGCATTAGACCACAAGGGCCTAGGTGAGTTTTTTAATTGGAAATCTAGATAGGTTTAGAAATCTAAGGCTGTCCTATCATAATGTTGTTTCAACAGTATATACTCCAGTGCTCTGAATTCTTTTTATTTTTCCCTTTCAGATTTGGATTTTCCAGTATAGCTCCAGGTCAGGAGTCATTCATCAGGCCCCCCCACCAGATGCAGGGTGGGCCAATGGCTGATAATGTCCCACCACAGATGCGAAGATCTCTGTCAGTTGATCTCCCTAGAGCAGTGGCAGGCAACCCTCAAATGGGTGTTCCCCAGCCGTTCCCACCACGAGGCCTTCCAGTGCAGCAACATAATATAATGGGCCAGCCTTTCATTGAGCTTCGCCATAGGGCTCCAGAGAACAGAGTCAGACTACCCTTTGGGCCACCAAATATGATGGACCATCCTAATCATCCCCAGAGACCTTCTGCTAACTTCATGGGAGGACAAAATATGGCATTCACTGGTAACCAGGGACCACGGCAGTTGAATCCCATCATGGGCCAACCTCAGCACGGATCAGTTGGTCACCTGCAGATGTCAACTAGCATGGAAAACTTGCATCAACAAGCCAACATGCCAGTGAATACCACTCCACAACATCCTCCACTGTCAACCACACTCACTCATGCAGTTAGTGGTGAGGCACTTAGTTCTGGCCAGCCTGCTCTTCTTCCTGTGGCAGTCCCTGGTCCATCTGAGGATATCCAGTTGCCTTGTGGTGATGGGATTGAGGTGAAGTTGGACACAGATGACTCAGCAGTAAAGGATCTTGAGGATGTGGAGGTTAAAGATTTGGTCGATGATGATTTGGAAAACTTGAACCTTGACACAGATGATGGCAAGGATTTAGATCTAGAGACGAATGACCTCCATCTTGATGATTTCATTGAATCTGGGAAATTTGACCTTATCGCTTATACTGATCCTGAGCTGAACCTTGAGGACAAGAAGGATATGTTCAATGAGGAGCTAGATCTTAGTGACCCCATAGAGGATGACCATGGTGAAAGCTCAGACCTTCAAAAGGAGCTGTCGGAAAAGAAAAGTGCCCCCTGTGGACGTACATTGACCCCTCAACCAGTGAGTAAACTGGAGGGTGGTCAGCCTCCTGGTCATGTCAAACAAGAAGAGAGCCTGTCAAAAGAAAGCTCTGGTGGTCTGCTGACAGAGAGCACTATTAAAAGAGAAGTCAAACAGGGTTCAGTGGCCGGCCAAGACCCTTCTGCTTGTGGTGTTTCCTTGAGTGAAAACAGGCCTCTGAGTAGTAAAGGCAGCCAAGGGGATGTATCCAGTCTCTTTGAGGGATCAGCCCAGCAGTCTGGGCTGTCAAGTACAGGTGTTTCTTCTGGCCCTGCTCCAGTACTTTCAAGCCTGTTGACCAAGGAGAAACTTGAAGATTCTGGCATTGACTCTGTGGTGCCTCCCCACCAGGGTGATCTTGCCCAGCCTATGATGATGCTGCAAGGACAAGACAATGGGATGAACTCTGGAATGACAATGGGACACAGGATGGATCCATCACTTGCTCATGGAGCATCACTGGGAAATCCAAATATGATGCCAGCTGGCAACCAGCAACTGCCAGTCCAAGGATTTGGAGCTTCACCAGGACAACAAGTGGATCTGAACCTACCCATGGTGGGTGGCCAGCAGCCCATTCCCCACACCCTCCATCCACAGGCCCAGCAGGCAATGTTCTCACAAGTGTCTGTAGGACAGCAAGGGTCAAAAGTACCACAGAGCCAAACAAAAAGGCCACTGCTCTTAGAGGAGCAGCCCCTCCTTCTTCAAGATTTGCTGGACCAGGAAAGGCAGGAGCAACAACAGCAGAGGCAGATGCAGGCTATGATTCGCCAGCGCTCTAATGACCCCTTTTTCCCCAATATTGGTGAGTTTTATTTATGTTAGTATTTTGTTTGTGAATTAAAGCGCTTGACTTGGGACAGCGGAATGCATCGAATATTCACAATTTATCACCCAATTTCAGTTTTTATATAGTGATATTGTTTTTTTGGAGAAGCATAAGCATAGTACAACTATGCACACGGAGACCAGGGTTAAATTCCCCATTCAAAGTGGACCATGATTTTTCTGTATTTTAAAAATTACGTTATTTATAAAACGTACAAGAAAAGTACATAAACATAATGAAAACAATGAGCAAGTGAAGTACATCTTGCACATTTTGTATCAGATACATTGCAGAACAGGCTGTAACCTTAAAGTTGTTTCTTTCTCTTTTTTTTTTTTTCTTGGGCTGGACTGTTTTTTTCTGTTTTTTGTGTTTAGCAATAGCCTGTTTCTGCCTTTATTTCATTCACCTGTTTTACAATAACTGCAAGTGCTGTGTAACTTCCAATACTCCTGTGTTTGAATGTATTTTTATGCTAATGTATCTTGAAAATTGCTTTCCAAACATTGGTAACTTGACTACTTAAGCTTTTTTTCTTCTCTCAAGATCTCAAGTAGTGTAACAGAGACCTGTATGTTAGATTGAATTGTCCCTGACAATGAAACACTTTTGGGGCTTTCTAGTGCCATTTTCTTCGGAGTGTATCTTGAATAATTTAAGCCCTGTTCCAGTAAGGTGCCATTTATTGGAAATGGATGAAATTGAGGTCAAAAGAATATTAACTTCACAACTTTCAGTAACTGAAGCTTTTGTGCCTTCGCTGTGATTTTCACCTTTATAGACTTTGACGCCATTACAGACCCGATCATGAAGGCGAAGATGGTGGCCCTAAAGGGAATCAATAAAGTGATGGCACAGAATAGTATGGGGATGACACCCATGGTCGTGAACAGGTAAAACAGCGATTTAATAAGTTAGTTATAAGGAAACATTTTTACCATACTCAGTTATTGTACTGAAGGTAATTTCCAAAGGATCCTTGATAATTGTAAAATAGATCTATTTTAAGTAGCATTTAAGCCATTTGCCTGCAGTTTCTTATTAGAACAGCATTGTTAGAAGAGGGGGATTTGGAAGGCTAGCGTTACTCATGTTAAGTAAATACTATACTTTTTGTTTTGGGACAGAATGCAGCAGATGCCAGGAGCACATGGGCCAGATGCAGTCAGTTTCCCCCCACATGTATTTGGACAGGTACATGCACAAACCTATATTTGTTATATTTAATAGGCAATATTTAATGCATGACACTAGTTGCCGGGCCATTAACAGCACTTTACTTTTAGGACGGCAAGCTGATACCGCAGCTGGCAAGGCCGAACCCTCCTAATTTTGGACCTGGTTTTGTCAGTAAGTGATTTTTTTTTTAGCTTTTTTGTATTTTAGTTGTTTCTGGTTCAGTACTGTGTTAGTGTGAAGTTAGAATAATGGTGCATGTGTGATTTTATTTGAATAATGTTTTGGTTTTGTCGACCTATTTTCAGATGACTCTCAGAAAAAGCAATATGAGGAGTGGCTTCAAGAAACTCAGCAACTTCTTCAGATGCAGCAGAAGTTTCTGGAGGACCAGATTGGGGCCCACAGGAAATCTAAAAAGGCCCTCTCGGCAAAACAGCGTACAGCTAAAAAGGCAGGCCGCGAGTTCCCAGAGGAGGACGCAGAGCAGCTGAAGCATGTGACCGAACAGCAAAGCGTGGTTCAGAAGCAGCTGGAGCAGGTAAAGACACTCCTTAGAGCCGTGTTGTACACAACATACAGTGAGTGCTGGGTGGAAATCGTATCCATGTAAAAATACTTTTTTTAGGATAAGGAATTTAGAGAGTTTTAATGATATTGAATAACAAATTCAGTTTCCTACTTCCTGTTGATGCAAGGAAACATTTGCAGTCCTGTGCTGCTATTAGAAATCTATTTCCTCTTGATACAAAGAGTATATGGCAACTAAACTTTAAGACCTTTTGTTTGTGTAGGGGAGGGGCAAGGCTCCACTAATTATTTCCCACTGTGGTGACCTTTCTGTGCCGGAGAGAGCAGAGACCTTGGTGAATCCAGGGCCCCAGAACAGAGCATTGTCTGATTTATTCTCTGACATTATCTCTTCCCCTGCTCCATTCTGTCAACATTTTCCCAAGGCCTCCACTCTATCGAGCATAGCTGATAAAGGGGAAATAGAGGATGTCTCTTCTAAGCACATCGTACTGCGCTTAGCCCTCCAGTGACTCCAGGCTGATTCACAATCAATCTCACGCCAGCCTACTCACATAGACCTGTTATTCTCCCCTGCTTCTTTTTAATTTTTGCCTATTATCCACCCTCCCTTCCTAGCTGACTGCAACTTACCTTAAAAAAACATGATACTAACAGTATCAAAATATTGAAAGATTTAACTGTGTCATTACAGTATTAACTAGTGCCACTGTTAACGTGTTAATATGTTCTCTCTTAAGCTGTGGCATACAGAATATACATTCTCTCTCAAGATGTGCCATATACAATATGCCCTTATATCGAATTCAGGGATATCTTCTTTTAATTTAACAAAAATGTACTGCATGTTCTTGTATCTTTGATAGTGGAAAGTCTCTCTCTCTCTCTGTTTTGTAGATCCGTAAGCAGCAAAAAGAACACGCTGAGCTTATTGAGGAATACCGCGTCAAGCAGCAGCAACAGCAGCAGCGAAGCCTCCAACCACCCTCCGTGATGAATCCAATGCAGGCCATGCCAGGAATACAAGGCCAAGCCCCTGGCATGATGCCTGGTGGGCCCCACATGGGCCAGCCTATGATGGGTCCCATGCAGCCCCACCCGGGTCAGCCCAACCCTGCTTGCATGCCTAATATGCCAGGGTGGCACCCAGGTGGCCCTGCACCCATGGGTGGACCCAGGATGCCATCTCACTTGCCTCCTCAAATGCCACCAGCCAACCTTGGCCAGCCTCCGGCACAGCCCCCAGGTGGGTTGGTGCCAGGTGGCCCACCTGGCCAACCTGGCAGTGTACCTGGGGGTCATGGGGGCGGAGCTGGCGGAGCCACCCCTCACGTGAAGTTTGACGACAATAACCCGTTCAGCGAGGGTTTCCAGGAGCGTGAACGCCGTGAACGACTTCGTGAGCAGCAGGAGAGGCAGAGGGTGCAGCTGATGCAGGAAGTGGAGCGGCAGAGAGCCTTGCAGAGACTAGAGCTGGAGCAGCAAGGTGCTGGCATGGCCCCAGATTCTAACCGGGAAGGCCTGGCCCACATGCCCTTCTACAGCGCTGACCTGCCTCAAGACTTCATGCAGCCTACTAGACCTCAGCAGCCACAGCAGCAGATGAGCTCCATGTTTCCCCAGCAAGGAGGACCACCTCTAGAATTTGGTGGCCCCAGCCCAGCCTTCATGCAGGCCGGAGAGCGACGGCCCATTCCTGGGGGCGGCAGTTTCCCACCAGCTCAGGAAATGGGGCCAAATTTTCGGCCAAAGAATCCGGCGATACATGGGCTAAACTTCATCCCAGGTCAGCCTCGGCCGCAAGCAATGCTCCAGGGTGGAGCTGAAGGCCCTCTGTTTGGAATGGAGTCAGCCACGCCATTGCCTCCTAATTACCCTGGCTCAGGTCAGTCTCTCATCCAGCTGTATTCCAATATCATCCCAGAGGAAAAGGGGAAGAAAAAGAGGAACCGCAAGAAGAAGAAAGACGACGACGCAGATTCAGTGAAAACGCCCTCCACGCCACACTCGGACCTGACTGCCCCTCTGACCCCGTGTGTTTCAGACACGTCGTCCACCCCCACACGCAGCGCTCAGGAACCCTCTGAATTGTCAAATCCGTCGTCCTCCATGCCTGGCTTGCCGCCTTCATCAGAGCTGGAGAGGCAGCTTTCTGGAAGCGGTGGGACAATGCTGAGGAGGCAATCTAGCATGGGCTCAGAAACAGAGCGGAGCATCCTGGATGAAGCCCACGAGATCAAACAGGAGAAACTGGAGGCCAGTGAATGTCGGGGGGCAGAAGTGGAGAGATTGGAGCACACAGGTATGGTGAAGGTTGAGGAGAGTGGCGAAGGAATCTCCCCCAGCGTCCCAGGGCAGAGTCCATCTCACAGCACCAAGGGCGACTCGGGGAACGAACTACTCAAACATCTGCTGAAGAACAAAAGTACACCTCCTCCACCAAGCACACCCCTCACGCACCAGGCGTCTAATGACAGCCTGCGATCAGAGGAAGAGGGAGTAGCTGACAGTAAAGGGTCTGTGAAGCTGGATTCCACCAACTGTTTGGTAAGAACTTAAATATAACATGAACTGAATTTTTAAAGTGTAACAAAACGCATCTTAAAGGAATTTTTTTTTTTTTTTCCCCTCTAACCCAAACGTAGTCAGCCAGCAAAGGCGTGCTTGATCATTGTTTGCTTTTTTGGTTTGTCACTGGAGCCATGATGCTAGTGAAGATAGAGAAAGATAGATGTAGTTATGTCCATTTTTTATAGATATCTACATCACTTACACAGTATTAGAAGCCACATAGCAGGCCGGTCCTGATCATGAATTTTTTGCTGGCGATCAGCTGCTGCACAGATAATTGCAATTAACAACTGAATTGCTTTATTTTAAAAAAACATTTAAAAAAATCTAAAACTTTTAAAAAGCCAGATGAAATTGTGCCCAGTTAAATTGTCTGTTGCAACGTACACACGTTTGTGCAAGTTAACAACTGTGGGAAAAAATGGCGGTCACCTCAAATAATTCATTTTTCATTTTTGGCCTTTAAGCAAGTGTTTTTTGAGATTATTTAACAACTCAACATGGTTTTAGGCAAGTGCTTGATGATTTAGACATAGTGTGCATGACTCCATTAGTTGTTAGCTACGTTACCCTTACAAAATGTCAAATACCAAATATATAGTAGTGTGTGTGTGTGTGTATATATATATATATATGTAGTGTCTCTTAAAGCTACCTCACGGAAACTTCTTACACAAAACAAACGTTGCCTGATTTGTGAGAACTTGTTTTGCAGTAGTTCTGACCTAAAACATTTTTTAAAATCCATTCATGGTGGAGAGGGGGTTGTAAGATAAAATAGTCCCCAGATAAAATGTACTTTTTCAGATTTACCACTTTTTTATTTTACCATTATCAACATTATGTATACAAATCTCTAGGTTCACTAGTTGGTATGGATAGTATATAGAATCTGTATGTTTTTCTACACTGAACCATTTCTCATCAAAACACTCCAAATGACATTGTTTACATCTCAACAATTCAGTTATGCAGAAATTTTGAAATTTTTTGCAATTTCCTTTTAAAGAGTCATTGTTTTTCAGTGAATTTCAAAAAGTAGTGATGAAGATATGGTCTGGAGTTGTGAATAGCTGACCACTACAAGTTGTTTGTTTCCTCTGACTCACCCTGTGAGTGACTAGAAGAGTTATGTGTTTTCTTGACAGGGTGGTGTGAACAACCAAGTACCAGACAATACAGATCCTCTAGAACCTTCTTTGCCAGAGCAAGGCAAGAAAAAACAGCGCAATAAGAGGACCCTCAAGGTGGGAGCTGAGAAACCTCAGTCTCGCTGGAAGAAGAGGAAGAAGGAGCAGGAGGAGCGACAGGTGGTGTATTCCTCCACCGACACATTGATGACCCAACTCAAACAGGTAAACACTCGGCAGCTGCACATACTGCTTATGTGTCACTCGTAAATATAACAAACAGGCTTTAAAGGTCACAATTGATTTTGATGGTTTATGCTCAAACTGTTAAACTCTCTTGTGAAGCTGGTCTTCAGTGGCGTTACAGTTTTGGGTTAGAGTGAGTATTAGGTTTAGGGTTTGTAAAAAGTGACGTTGAATTGAAAACCTATTTAATTCAGTGTCCGTTAAGAACAGGCTGAGCATCTGCCGTCAAAATAAAGTGTTGCGACTTCAGAGTCTTAAAAGCAGTGCTTTTCCACCTTACCAACTTTTCATAATGCCTTACAGATGAAAATGTCCTAAAGCCACACGAGTCTTAATTTATACAGAATGTTGATTTTTCTGCGAATGTACCTCCTTAATTACAGTCATCTCGAGGAGTAATTACTTTCATTAAGCCTTAATTGCAGTGCTGGCATGGATAGGTGTGCATAGAATGCATTAAATGGAGTTTGTGAAAGACCCTTACAGGGTTTTAAATGGAACATTCAGTGCACTTGCATTAAAAAATGATTAATAGTGCGAGAGTGCTTTCAAGTCATGCTGGTTATGGATGCACGCTATGCTATAGTGAGCTGATAGCTATAATAAGCCATCTTTATTCAGTCATTTTGATTCTGCTTTTAAGGCAGGAGTTTGAAATGAGGATGCGTACTGTGCTCTTTACTTAAGCTTTCCAGTTTATTTTTATTTTTTGCTGCATCACGTACTGAAATTTCTGCATCCTGAAGCCAAATACTGCAGTATATTCGTTCTTAGTCTTGAGTCTTCATCTTGTGATCGATTTTTAAGTATGCTCTTCAGTTGTCTAATCTGAGGTGTCCTCTTATATTTTAGTAATTGGCCTCAAGGCACTGTACCTCCAGAATGCTGTTTCTTCAAAAGCTCTGTTCCTTCAACTCATCCTATTTTTTCTCCTCCCTTACAGCAGCTCTCCCTGCTGCCCCTGATGGAGCCCCTAATTGGGGTAAACTTCGCTCACTTTCCACCGTATGGCAGCGGGCAGTTAAACGGAGAAAACCGACTGTCAGGCTCTTTCGGAAGTGCGTCACTGGACGGAGTGTCGGACTACTACTCTCAGCTCATCTATAAGGTCTGGTTCTACTGTCCAGTTTGTCAAGAATCTGGAATTCATACTAGCTTGAACATAAACAATGGACTTCAAATTCTGCTACGCAGCTGGAAGGATAAAAGCGTTGTTATATTCAGTGCTCATGAATTTAAATGTAACAGTCCAACACCTTTGGTTTATCGTTCTCAAGGTGCTGGTATTGTTCTAGTTGCTGTTCTAATTTTTCAAATACTAAGAGGAGCCATTTTGTCCTTTCAACAAAAATCTAACCTTGGGAGCCGCAACATTTTATGTCCAGTTTACCGTCTTGGCTGTAAATATGTCTCAGTATGTGTTAATATACTAGTGTAGGCTAAAAAATAATAAACAGAAACGCAGACTAACTTTGCTCTGCTTTAAGCTTTAGCTCAGCAGTAGCTGCTTTTCTTGAATCTCTGGCAGGAAACTTTTTTTTTATAAAATGTCTCTCAACGTTTGACTTTTTACAAGGCTGAAGTAGCATAGTATGCAGCTGGTAAACCGGAGAAAAGTGTGAGCTGAGTACAGTCAGTAATTTTTTTTTTCTCTCCTTTTTGTTTGTTTTGTTTCACCATGCAGCAAAACAACCTGAGCAACCCTCCAACGCCTCCTGCCTCTCTCCCACCTACTCCGCCTCCCGTGGCCAGGCAGAAGATGGTGAACGGCTTTGCTACAGCCGAGGAGCTCGCCAGGAAAGCTGTTATGAGTGGGCATGAAGGTACGAAATGGTCTCCCTTGTAGTTAAAGGAACATAATGTTTCTAACCACTGGGACTATGTATAAGTTGTAAATTAGCTGTGAAGCTGTGTTAAGTTTATGGTATGTTGGATGTAAACAAGCTAATTCAATTAATTGAATCGTTCAGTTGTTAATGTAAATTGGCTAGACTTGGGCTTAATTGCCCTTTGCTGCCTCTCAAATGTCTGTAAAAGTAAAATTAGTTCCAAAATACTCAAATTGCCCTGTAGTTCATTATTGTTCTTGTCTGCTCTTAGTTTCCAAAAGCATGGGACCGAAGCACCTCCCAACTCCATTTAGAGGAGAGGAGGACCTCCTGGCTCAGGCCATTTCTCAGGGACCCAAGACTGTGGATGTGCCGGCCTCTCTCCCCACACCCCCTCACACCAATCAGGAGGAGCTCCGGTAAGACATACTGACGATTGATTGGTTGGTTGGTTGATTGGTTGATTTAGCTGTTTTGGAAAAGGTTAATTATAAATGTATTTCTAAGTCAGATTGAATTGTTAAATTTTCTAAAATATTTTACAAGCAATTGTAAAATTGTAATAGTTTGCCTACGTAAAGATGTTTATTGACATTGTCAATAAGCCAATTTTTTTTTCCAAAATATTCAATTTTTTAGTGGTGTTCTCTTACTCTAGCATATTATTTCCTCTTTAAATTGAGCAGTTTTTAAGAATGACAACCTACTAATTTAACACACCTGGTTTAGTTAATCAAGCCCTCAGCATCTGAATGAGGGAATAAGGTAGATAAGAGAGTTTTTGGCTCAATCACCCCATTTTTATATATATTTTTAAAAAATTGTTTCTTACAGGGGTCAGGATCACTGTGGCGACAGAGACACCCCAGACAGTTTCGTCCCATCCTCGTCTCCAGAGAGCGTAGTGGGCATGGAGATCGGCCGTTACCCGGATTTGTCTCTGGTGAAGGAAGAGCCTCCATCCCCTGCTGTGTCTCCCACCATCCCCATGCTGCCCAGTGCAAGTGGGAAAGGTCAGTTCATCACATAATCTCGGAGAGAGCCTAACAAAGCCCATAATAAACATCATAAATTCTCATAATAAAACTTTTTTCAACATAAGTGGCAGAGCTCCTGACAGTCAATGTAAGTTAGTAGTGTGCTACAGCATGACGCCAGTTTGACTTCATTATAAGCAACCATATGCATTTTCATGGTATGTATTTGAGAACATTTCACTTTCTCTTTCACTGACTTGGTTCTCTCGCGTGTAGGCACTGAATTCAAGCAGTGGGAGGTAAAGAAAGAACCTCAGAGCAGTTTCTTCGGATCCCATTTTGAGCCGTCTTCATCCTATTCTAAGACTGGTCTCATGTCCATAGCGCTCACTCTAAACCAAGCTGCAGCAGAGGTGGGTATTACCATTTTTATAATGCCAGCTGAAGTTCTTAAATAGATTCGACTTTATTCGCTTTTGATTCACAGTTGTAGAATGCAGCTTGCATTTATTACTTGCATAGCAAATGCACTGTTGTGAACAGGGTTTGAACTTTATTGGCAGATTTCTGGAATAGGTTGGAGCCAAAGTGTCATATTTTAAAGTTTGAGGTTTTTTATTGTCAAAGGCATTAACTTTTCACAATTGGGCTAAAAATGTGGACTGATATTTACATGGAGTTTATAAAGCATTTTTAAGGGATTGTTTTCAGCTTATTTACACCTGACAGCTAAAATTAAAATAAAGAATAAGGTCACAGAACATGTCCTGGTGGATCTTAAGTATTTTTGTGTAGTGATACTTTGGCAGGGCACATACATTTATTTATTGTAATTTTCATACCTTTATTTGCAATCAGATTTGGGTTTTCTAGTTCTAGTTGTGGTAAATATGTTGTCCTCTGTGGCCAAAACACTGAATTTAATATGATGAGTGATAAAACTTTATCAAATTAAATTCAGTATGATAAATTAAGTGATTAGTTTTTTACCCATATGGCTTGGTCAGTTTCAAAAATGTATTCCGATTTGTGCTCAGGTAAGCTCAGAGAACGTGTGGACCAATTAAAAATTTCAGATTTGGACACTGAGAATTCAAGGCTATAGACTAAATGAAAATGGTTTAGCCAAATATCCAAATAAATCCTTACTCCTGTTTCTGTTTGTATTGCAGAACATTCAGGGAGTGGTGGCAGCAGTAGCTGACCTGCTTTTCGTCCCTGTCCCTGCCAACTACGAGGTGACCCGCACGCCAGGCCCAGAGCCCCGAAGCTCTCTGGCCATGCTAGCTGGCCTCAAGGTCCCTCCGACCCATGGGCTGGACCCCCGGCAAGTTTCTCTGTTTCCTCAGGCTGGCATGAGGTTCCCCAGACCACCAGGACCCTCAGGTCCCCTAGGAATGATTCCCCCAAATCAGCACTTTGGGTCCCTCAACAGCACGGGTGAGCCGACTCGCACCAACAGGCCTTTTTCGGGGACAGCTGGAAGCGAAGTGTTACAAATTGCAGTCATTGATGCAGTTTGTCAATATCTAATGACCCATGATTGCAGGGTTTAACTGCTTCTTCAAATTAGGTCACTGATGTTTCTCTCAAGTGGTTTGAGTCACTGGTTTTCATTCTCACTCTTTTCATAGTGATCTGTTATTTTTCTCTTTTTTGAGTATTTTAAAAGGTCTTATTTCCTAAAAATGGCTGTACAATAATCTTGTCATTAAGTACTTTTCCCTTTATCATTTATAAAGGTGAATCGCGTTTAGTTTTTTCTCTGCGCTCCAAATTAGGGCTGGTGAAAAGAGCATCAGTGTCTGGCCGGGGGGCGTCTGGGGCAGGGGGGCTTTCTCCTTTCCCTGGGTGCGCTTTGTTATTGATCATGTCTGAGATGTGACATGTTAACGAAAGCCAGTAATGATTGTAGACTAGCCTGCAGACAGTGCTTGTTAGCTCGCAGCTTTGTACTTTTGACTTAAAAGACAGACCCCTCATCAGATGGGCTCGGGTGCTTCACATAGTGATTTAAGAGCTTCTTCAAGTGCTTTGAAATAACAGTGAATTGTTGCCTAAATCGTTTGACACCTCACCATAAATTGGAAAAGATCTGAATTTTGTATGAGAAGCACCACTGTTTAATTAAAGTTCACTTATTTGAAACAAACTTAAGCGCTTGAGACAGAACAAGTTTCGAACATCGTAACTGTCACTGAGATTTGTTCGAACGACTCCTGTAACTGTATACTGAAGGTTAACCATGCTTGTCAAATGTTGGCCAGTGTAGCTCCCCCAAGCTGTCATGTTGGAATGTCTTTTTCTCAGACATGTTTATGTAACTCAATCGCAGTGGCTCATCGTGTTATGCTTCCCTCAAGTACTCTGTTAGGATTTCCCCCCACTTATTTATATTCTTGGCTGCACGTCTGTGGGTTTGATTGACACGTTGCTGTATTCCAGGTCCAGCTGCGCTCAGACCGGAATATCAGATGGACGACAGCAGCCCAGGGCAAAAACCACAGTGGTGTGCCAACTGCAAGGTGGTGGTTCTGGGAAATGGAGTCCGCAAGTCTACCAAAGACTTCCCCAGCCATAAACAGGTATACATACAAAGTAGTCGTGCACAAGTGTTTGCATGTCCTCCAGTATATAGTAGGGCAGAGCAACCAAACACTGGGTAAAAGGTACTTTTTTTTCTTTTTGCACAGATTAATCAAACACACTATAGATACTTTGTGTTCAAAAGAAGTGTTGCCATGTTCGACATGCTCTTTTCACTCATCATATTTATTTGATGATTTCTTTTTGACTGTTGGAAAGATTAAAAAAAAAAAAACTGTCTTGAATTAATTGTTTTGCATCGATTTACAAGATTTTTAGAGACTGTTACAACCAACCCCACTGTATTTTACAGTTTAGCCCAATTGTTTGTAGATGGTACGTGCTGGAAACAAAGTTTATTTGTAGCAGGGATATGTAGGTTGCTCATTTAAAAATAAATATTAAGCTATATTTGCTCCCTACTGAATATTAAGCAAAGCATTTTACACGTTATGCAAAGTTGACAGAGGAACAATAACAGTCTAATTCCACTAATTCAGCCTGTTGACCATGGCTTGGGTTGCTTAGTGATTCAGAGAACCTGATCTGACTGTATAGGCTGTATTATGAGTCTCCAGTTGGGTCATTGAGCCTAATGTTCCCCAAAGACTTGAAAGAGTATATGTGTAACATGAGTACAGGTATAGACTCTGTTCTCATGGCTCCTTGGAACCTGGGTGACTTCACAACAACCTGAAGAGTTTCCAGGCTGAAGGCTTTTCAGAGTGAATGCCCCCCCCCCCACTCCACCCAAAGCAACTCCCTAATTATGCTAATCCAACCCCTAACGGGAAGTGAAAATCCACTCTTGCTACAAATACCAGGTTAAATGACATTACCCAAGGGAAATGAGTGTAGTCACGCACAGCCCCAAGAGGCCTAAGCTCGCAAACAGTTAATTGCACGACCATGAATTTCTGGTCATTCAAATCAGCAGGCAACTTTGATCACTGTGCCCCTTCTAACCCCCCCAACATCTTTACTCTATGCGGATTTAATAAGTCCTTTTGGCATCAACAAAAAGACTGTGGCGTAATGCAGCCTTTGATCTCCACCTCTTCAGTTAGCTATTCAAGTTTGCTGTCTAATGATCATTTGGGGCGATAGGTGGGAAATGGCATAACCCTATTTCCCAGCCTCCCTGGAGCATGTGGCACTGTTGCTCTGACACGTTCTCTCTACAGGAGGGCCAAACCCAGGCCGAGGGCAACGCCGTCTTCTGCAGTCACAACTGCTTTGTTCTCTACTCATCCTCCATGCAGACCAAACCAGTAGATAGCAAGGTAAGCCATGCGATAATATATCAGATGTTAGATTACTGGACAGTCTGCTTAGTGCTTACTTTATCTTCACTTGTAAGAGTAAAAATTGGCTAAATTGTCATTGGCTTCAAATGCAAGTGTTGAAGGCAGAGGAGAACAAGTACCATTATGTCCTGCTGGAACCAGTCTAGAGCAAATACAAAAAACATAACACTGGAACCTTCAGTACTGAACACAGTTGTCATGCCAAAGGTCCCAGTCGTACATCTATAGTATAATATTGGACAGACAGAACAACCAGAACATATAAAGCAATAGAATGTGGTAGTTGAGATGGTTGACACGTTTGTCTGTATTCGTCTCTCAGCCGAATGTGCCTGTCCTGCCTGATTCTCAGAAGAGCCAAGTGAAGGCTCTTCACCCGTACAGCAACAACATATCTACCCTGGATGTCCACTGCCTGGCCCAGATGCAGCCCAAACAGTCTCCACCCTCCACCCCACCCATCTTCTTCCCCTCTGCCTCCCCTGAGTCAGCCAAAGCCGAAGTCAAGTCGGATGCTCTGAAGGTCACTGTAAAGCTGAAGCCCCGTCTCCGTGCCGTCCATAACAGCGGAGGCGATGAGTGCCTGCCACGCCACTTATCTGGGAAACGTTGGAAGGGGCTGCGCTGGCGCAAATGGAGCGTCCAGATAGTGGTGCCCAAAGGCAACCTGCAGCTGCGGGACAAGGATGAGCTGGAGCAGCTATTGAGGAAGCTGGACGCCTCCCTGCGGCCTGAGCCGCTGCCAAAAGACCTGAGGCGTTGCTGCTTCTGTCACGAAGAGGGCGATGGGCTCACAGATGGACCCGCCCGTCTACTCAACTTGGACCTGGACCTGTGGGTGCACCTTAACTGTGCACTGTGGTCCACCGAAGTATATGAGACCCAAGCTGGTGCACTTATCAACGTAGAACTGGCTCTGAGGCGCGGCCTTTCTGTGCGCTGTGCCTACTGCCAGCAGACTGGAGCCACCAGTGGCTGCCACCGGCTGCGTTGCACCAACGCCTACCACTTCACCTGCGCCCTCAAGGCGCAGTGTACCTTCTTCAAAGACAAGACCATGCTGTGCCACCTGCACAGGCCCCGTGGAGGCTCTAGTGGCTCTGGGAGCGGGACTCCAGGAGGGCCAGAGCACGAGCTGCGCTGCTTCGCCGTGTTTCGCCGTGTCTACGTGCAGCGGGATGAGGCGCGGCAGATAGCCAGCATCGTGCAGCGCGGGGAACGCGAGCACACCTTCCGTGTGGGCAGCCTGGTGTTCCATGCCGTAGGTCAGCTCCTGCCACAGCAGATGGAGGCCTTCCACTCATCTGCCGCCATCTTCCCCGTGGGCTATGAGGCCAGCCGCATCTACTGGAGCATGCGGCATGGAAACCGCCGCTGCCGCTACCTCTGCTCCATCGACGAGAAGGACGGCGCCCCTGAATTCACCATCCGCGTGGTGGAGCAGGGCTACGAGGATCTGGTGCTGACCGGATCCTCACCTAAAGGTAAGCACCACATACCTGAGTTTAATGGTGGACTTCAGATACCATTTTGCAAATAATATGTGAATTCTGGCGGTGATTAATTAGCCTAATATAAAGCTCTAATGGGCCTGAAATTTTGGTCTGAACCCAAATACAGCTTTGCATTTTGAGTCTGAAGGTGACCTGAACCTGACAAAATTCTGTCTGAACCCAGCCCAAACCACATCAGTCAGAAACTGTACAGCACCGGGTACGGTGAAGCGACAATAATAGCAGTCTTTACTTAATGGATAAACAAAAAAAATGAATAATGATAGAATATAAAAACCTAGTAAGTTAAATTCATTCTTTAACTCATTTATTCAAGCAGTGCTTTAAAAAGCATCTCATTTTTAGTCTGGATAAAATTCCCTAATGTTCTGTTCTCGCACTGCTGATATGATGAGATGTTCACCTTCACCTGTTTAATTCTAAAACTCTCAAACTGTTTTTTACGCAACATTTTATGTAATTTACATAGAACGTAAAAATATTTTTGGCCACAAAGATAAAATTTCCTTTTGGCAGCACTGAACTGTACTTCCCTGAATCAATTCCCTAATTAAATTCTAAGGGGATTCCTAAAGAACCGGTCATTTGGCATATTAACCCAATACATAAGAGTCTGCCAACCAGAGCTACCTACCCAACAGTGGTCCTGTGGTCAGAAACTAAGCACTAATGAAGGGCTAGGTAAGCAACCCAGTCAAATGAGCTATAACTGTGCAAGTATTGTGTAAATCTCAAAGCATGTCATATTTAAATGTGTGCATTATTGTGAGGTTAAAATGGAATTATTTATCAAATGGTATTTGCTATGTTATGATTTAAAAAGGTATTACATATGAAAAGCATTAAAATTGTGTGGCAGTCCTGTTAACCGACCTTAGCAGTCGAATCCTGTCTGGTTCGGACAAATATTTAAAGCTCTAGCCTGGTAGTTCCCAGCTCTGGTCCTGAAGTACACGTCATGCATATTTTGGTCTTTTTCCTGTTCATCCATCTAATCAACTGATTAACAAGCCGGCTAATCAGCTAATTAACAATTCCTGAGCTGAAGTGTGGGAAACACTAAAATATGCAGGGCAGGGGAACTCCAGGACCAGGTTTGGGGACCACCGATTTAGCCTGATTTGCAAAATGCTGAAATCTTTTGCTTCGATAAATACTAGTAGGGGACATTTAGCATTACGCAAATGAGATCCTGCTAGTGGGTCTGTTCTGGCCTTTGATCACATTAATTCTGATTAGCATTTTTGGGCCAAGTACTCCTTTATTTAACAGCTTAACAAGACACTTCTGTCCTCCAACTTCTTTCAGCTTCATTGAAGAGAATTACAGATTCACAGTGCTGCAGATTCTCCTAATAAAGTTTGACAAGTCTCAGGTGAAGTTAAAAGGATCAGAGGTGTAAGCAGGTCTTCTAAAACAGCGACTCAGGTGTATCAAGTTACAACACGACTTCTCTTGTTCTCTGTGCAGGAGTGTGGGATAAGGTCCTAGAGCCCGTGGCGGAGAAGAGGAATGAAACGGGCATTCTCAAACTGTTCCCTGTCTATCTGAAGGGAGAAGACCTGTTTGGACTGACGGTCCCGGCAGTCACCAGGATTGTGGAATCGGTATGAAACTGTTGGGAGAAAAGAAAATGTATACAAACTCTTAGCAAAAAGGATTCTATACACTCTTAAAAAAGATGGTTCTTCAAGGGTTCTTTAGTAAAGACAATGGTCCTGTATAAAACCATGAACACTCAGAACCTTTTGCATCATTAAAGGGTTCTTTGCATCATGAAAGGGTTCTTCATGTTGATGGAAAATGTGAATGATTGTGCTACAGACGGTTCAATATAGCATCTTTTTGAAAAGGGTTCTACATAGCACCCAAAAAGTTTCTTCCTTTTGGGTGCTATACAGAAGCGTTTTCAAAAAGGTTCTATGTAGAACCATCTACAACACATTCTCCATCAGTCTGAAGAACAATTTCATGATGCAAAGAACCCTTTAATCTTAGAGTTCTTTGAGCATTCAGGGCTCTATAAAGAATCACTGTCTTTACCAAAGAACCCTTAAAGAACCATCTGAACCATGACACATTTTTTATGAGAAAAATGTGTACACGTTCATTACCAGTAAAAAAAAAAAAATTGCATTTTTGATAATGAGAAACATTTTTACATTACGTAAATTTCTAATACAAATAGTGAAGGTGACGCCTATGTATGGCAATATTTCCAAAACAAAAGTTTAAACATGAATTCCCCAAGTGACAAAATATATGTTTTAAAGCTCTCAATGAGTGCTACAGCAACAAGAAGGTCCTGGTGAATGTTTATCTTCAGTTTTGTTAGAAAATGAATTCACCTCATGAAGCATCAAGGCAAAAAGGGGGAGGGGCTTATTTTGATTCGTTTGGTCAGGTTTTGGTCACTATCATTCAATATATGCTATTTCATAGTTTCAATGTCTTCACTATTATTCTCTAGTGAGGAAATTGGTAAATATAATCTAAGAGTGTGTGCAAACTTTTTGGTACTGTATATGACCGTCGGCAGAGCTGGGGTTTTTTTACCATGTAAAAAAAGAAAGTCAGGTTGTGTTTTGTGAACAAAGTCTCTGATGCTGTAGTTTCATCTGTGAGATCAAGGAGTAAATGTGTCTCTGTGTTTAAGTAAGTTACACTCCAGATGCATTAACTGTTTTTTTTTGTTGTTTTTTTTTTTCTCTCTCTGTCTACAATCAGAACAAATGATGATCTGATTTGTTAGAGCTCAAGGCTTTTTTAATTTCTGGCAAGTGAGGCTCTTAGTTTTAGCTTGTTTATCGCATGAGGCAGTATTTGTTTTGTCCCTATATACCGTACACAACAAAATAATGTAACTGAGCATGTCTGTGCTTATACCCAATGGTCTGAGCAGTAGGCAAGTAGGCTAGTAAGTCTTAAAAACAGAATTATTGACCAGAGAAAGTTTATGGTAAACCTGAATTAGACTAGATTTTGCATCTTAAGGCCTGATTGGCACATGCTGCGCCTGTGTGGCGTGGGTGACATTAAAAGTCTTGCTTTTCATTTTGGCACCCATGTTAAGTGGTCAGCGCTTTCACACCGGCTGCGCGTGCAAAGGGGCAGGGTCCCAAACACCGCACTGAAGTGGTGCGGCATTTAGAGAATAGAACCGTTTTTTTTTCTGTCCCTGTTACGCAGCAAAATACACTGAAACAAGCCATGACAATTGATGAAAATTAAACAGAAACTGTATGCAAACTTAAAAACAATATATTTTTTTATTTAATTCATGACGAAATACCAGTTAATCTGTTTGCAGCACGGAATGTTTTCCTGGTAGGTCAACCAGGCTTGAAACTTTTGCCTAATCACAAGTCTGAATGCTGTTAAGGATAAACAAATATACCGTGCACTTCTATAAATTATATTTTTACTGAGCAGATTGACTAATTTCACTATTTATCTGTCTGGAAAAATGAAGGTATTTATAACTTTGTTGCGGCTCGGCTCCACAGCACAAATGCTGTATGTATGCAAGGCCAGCGCATTTGAGCTGTAGCGCTCACTCCATGCAGAGGTAGCCTGTGTGAATTAGACCTAAGGCTGTGTAGCTGGTTTGACCCTACTTTCAGAGAAATTGTGTTCTTTTGATTTCTCCTTAGCTCAGTAGCTAACTAAATAACTTACTCTTGACTAACCTGAGGGTGTCTGGGTTCACTAACCGCTGCTCTCTCATTCTCCTTTATCTCCTTTATTAAAATGGCATTATTGCCTAACCACAGTCAAGTGCTAGCTGGCTGTAGCCTGTTTTCTCATCATCAGGATATGATTGTGAATCAGCCACGTTCTGATTGATGCTTTAAAACGAGTGTGATTGAAACGGTGCATTTAACTTAGCAGTGGAATGAGGAGACATGTCAGCTACTCCTGAGATGAATAAACTCAAAGAAAATAGCCAGAATTACATATTACTATATTATAAACATCACTGTGTTCTCAAAGCTTGTCTGTATGATGTTCATGGGAAGCTCCACTATAGATGGCTGTGTTTTGGGGTGCATTTGGAGGTTTGATCTGTTATGCAGTTTCAGGGTGGTGTTCTAAGTCTCATACTTCCAGCCACATACCAATAACTGGACTTTAGGAAGAATAGCTAATAAATCCCCTGCATCTCCTGTTATTACCCCTCTCTCACTGACTGTGTCAACTGGTTCATGTTCCAGCTGCCTGGAGTGGAGGCGTGTGCACGCTACACCTTCCGTTATGGCCGCAATCCTCTGATGGAGCTGCCTCTGGCCATCAACCCCTCAGGCTGCGCGCGCTCTGAACCTAAGGCGTGCACCCACGTCAAGAGGTTTGTGTTAAGGTATTCTGTAGATTTTAGATCTTCTTTCTTCATGTCCTTCTCCCTTTGCCTGTGATCCGTGAGCAGCCAGAGCTCAAGTCCTGTGTTTCGTCCACTCATAAGGTCAGCGTGCGTTGTCCATTAAAATCGTCTTTTCCCATTTCAAATGATGTTCAGTCATATAATTGTGTTCATTATGGCATTAAACTTAACAAATATATTTAAAAAATCTCATAGATTTGGTCTTACAGAGGTTTCAGTCCTTCAGTGATGACAGTAACCATGTGGTTAACTTAACTGAAAGATCATTTAGTCTGTTGGCGCCTCTGACTGTTTTCTCTAACTGTTTCCATCTCACCACATCTTGGCACTTGAGTAGATGCTGCAGTCTTCCTCAGTGTTGTCTTCTCCATCTCTTGATATTCCTCTAGGCCGCACACCCTGACCAGCGGCAGCTCTGCTAAGGCTCTCCAGAGCAACGGCAGCCCCGCTGAGCTCACTGGCGCCCCCTACAGCAAGCAGTTTGTCCACTCCAAGTCCTCTCAGTACCGCCGCATGAAGGCCGAGTGGAAGTCCAACGTTTACTTGGCCCGTTCGCGCATCCAGGTGAATACAGAGCAGTTTGAGCCATGGAGTTATTGTTCTACTTGCAACATGCATTTATTGTAGTCATACACTGTTCTTTGTCCGTTTTAAGATGTGGAATTGAAGTACTTGCAAACAAAAGCCAAACAAAATGCAAAAACATTGTTTGCTCATAGCTTTGTACCATGTTTGTTGTAGGGCTTGGGGCTGTATGCTGCTAGGGACATTGAGAACAACACCATGGTCATCGAATACATTGGTACAATCATTCGTAACGAGGTGGCAAACCGCAAGGAGAAGATGTACGAATCACAGGTACGTGTGGCAATTCTGGTTTCACCAGAGCCGTTTTCCAAAACGTGTTTTTGCCTGCTGCTCTTTGCAGTAAAATCCATACACTTTTTAATGCTATTATTAATTTTTTCCAAACCATAGAACCGTGGAGTCTATATGTTCCGCATCGACAGTGAGCATGTAATTGATGCAACCATTACAGGCGGACCCGCAAGGTAGGAACTGAATTATCAGATCTGCAAATACGTCAGCATGTATTTCTGCTCAAAGAGTGGTCATGTTTTCTTGTCCATCACATTTACCTTGTATAAATGAATTTGTGCCGTCAGGTACATCAACCACTCCTGCGCACCCAACTGCATAGCCGAGGTCGTGACCTTTGAGAGAGGCCACAAAATAATCATCAGCTCCAACCGCCGGATACAACGCGGGGAGGAGGTAGGCCAGTTAACTGCTGCATTTAACCTTTTCAGGCTGACGTGTTTGGTCAGCTATCTTGCTTACTAGTTAACTTAGGCCCTGTTTATGCCTGGTCATTTAATGCGTTTAGGACCTGGCAAGATTTTAACTACACTCGGTTGTCAAACATATCTCTGGTTAAATTGAACTATGATTGCTTTATGGCGTGCAATGTGCAAAAAGCTCATATACAGCAACCAACTGTCTGTGCTGCACCTCTTGATGACTGTTCTATTCAAAAGAAAAGCACAATTTTGCACACTGTTGTTTATTTCCTTACACCATCAGTCAGTGTTTACAAGACAGCTGTTCAAAATCACTAGACTATTAGTGTTGTCTAAGACAGAGGAGAACTCTCCCAAGCACCGTTAGGTCCTGTTGGTACTGATCTTGAGCAAGTGCCAAATCCATAAAACTGGAGCCTTCAGTACTAGATGGATGGCCAATGTAAAAAGCACAGTAAGGTCATTCTCATGAGGCCATGTACATTATTATCATCATAGTCATTGTGTGAGGATCATAGTCATCATGCAGATAAGCAATATTTATAATTTGGCAGAACAATGGAAGCTCTAAATGGTACAGCATTTTTCTATTTGAAGGTGTTTTACTCTCATGCTCAGTACTGATATTTCTTTTTCTTTTTTTCCCTTAATTAGAAAAAGGTGTCTATTATTTGTAACTGTAGAATCCATTAACATTTTTTCTGTAAACTGTTGGGAAGTGAACCAACATAATTGTGTCAGTGCTTTGGGCCAATGAGATATAATTGCATATGACTATATATATTTCGCTGTTGTCTGAACAAAACCTTGTATCTCCATTTTTGTCGTTTATCAGTTTTTGACAATGTTAAAAAGGCCTGTTGCCCTTTAGATTGTGAATTTCGTGATGAATGGACCAAAAAGTCTGGTTCCATTGGCTTACATTAAATGGAAAGTATGTTTTTCCTTCTCCTGTAAAGTTACCATTTTGGAGATATGAGGTGGTGTTGAGGTTTTATATATATATATATATATATATATATATATATATATATATATGTATATATATATATATATATGTGTATATATAAAAAAAACATTTACACATTTATCTTCAGATTCCACTGCGGTGCGTAAATGTGAAAGTTTAAAATTTGAAAATGATCACCAAAAAAACAAAATAATTTAATGTTTTAAATGATGTTTTATTTTTAATTATTCATTATTCAGGCTTTATTGTTTATATTTCCAAATTAAAAAAAAAAACTATAGTTCCAGTTATCTGGTGTCAGAGGTTCGGGTACTTTGTGCAGAACCCCCACCCCCACCCCAATGTTCTCTTCTGTTTATGATGTTAGTGTCCTCTCTGCACTTGAATAGCTGACAGTCCAATTCTAGAACCAGACCCAAAGCAGAAACATCTGTTCAGAAGGTTTTTGATGTTTGTTCTGATTGGGCTGTTTTTCTCTGTTTTGTTTCCCTACAGTTGTGCTATGACTACAAATTTGACCTTGAAGATGACCAGCATAAGATTCCTTGTCACTGTGGTGCAGTAAACTGCAGGAAATGGATGAACTAAACCGAAGAGGCGCTTCTGTTTTTTCTTTTTTGTTTCTCTCTTTTTTTTTTTTGTTTAGTTTGTTTTTTGAGGTGGACAGAGAGAACATTTAATCCACACGTATGCATTCCTTGTTAGCTTTTTCTAGGCCCATTTCTAAACAGGAAGCATTTTGTTATTAATCTTTAAACTTATCAGGGCAGACGAAAGACCGTAGAACTGTAAGAGGTAACGAGGAGACCTGGTCCAAGGTCCCAAAAAAAGGCACAAAAGCCGACTGGGGTCTCATTGGGATGGACAGGTAAGGTGGGGGTGGACATACTGCATGGTAAACAGCTTCACCTGAACACCAGGCGGCACACTGGTTCCTCCGCTTTGCAGAACAGACACAGCGCGGATGGCTTTTTCTCTGAAGGAAGAGCAGAGTTTGACGAGCTTCGGTGAGAAACAGGCAAACAGGAGCTTAAAAGGTGGTGTTAGGTTAAATCTCACCAGCTGACCAGGAAAGTAAAGTGCTGGCCACAGCCTTATTTAGTTATTAAGAGGCTGGTCCTCTGGATAAAGATTTTATATATATATATATATATATATATATATATATATATATATATATATATATATATATATATATATATATAAAATGTATACACACAGATCTCTATATATATATATACAGATATACACATATATAGAATCAGAAATGTAGACACCACTGAACAAGGAATGTACTGAGAAGACTTCCTTAGGGATAAAGCTAAGGGAATATTAACTTGCACTAAAAACAACAAAAAAAAAAAATACAGTTTAAAATACTTGATTCCATGAGTCAGTTTATTTTTTCTTTGTTTTTGATTTCTGTAAAATAAGAGGCAAAGTTTTGTATTTATTATCAATTGAAGCTATTTTTTAAGAATGTGGATTTAAAAAAAAAAAGAGAGTCAAGCTGCTTTGGGAAGCTGCAGATTGAACAGAACGTGTTACTTTATAAAATATGTAAATATCCATCTAAAATTTAAAAACGTAGAATTACTCGACCAAATGCTACCTTAACTTCATTATAGCTATTTGGGTGATTTTTTTTTGTTTTGTTTTTCTTCAAGGAAAAAAGAAAAAGGACAAAAAAAAGTATTTAAGAAGGATGTCAAGATATCATTTTGAGAGTCTGTGTTGTAAAAAAAATTGTACAGAATCTGTAAAGAAAAAAACAGAAAAAAAGATTTCAGAATATTTTTGTTGTATTTAGAATGTAGAATCAATATTGTCTAAAATTCTGACCACTTGAATTTTCTTTCTTACCTTACTTCGTTTCTTTTTACACATTTTAGTTTCATGTACTTTTTGCAATCAAAGAACGCACCAATCATGCTGTGCTGATTGTGACATCCTAACTGTTAATCACGAACGATGCGCGCTGTGAATTTACGTTAGAAACCACCCAAACAGAATCCAGTAGCTTAAAGCTTACCGAGCACGAGGGATTTCCTTTCCTTAACACAAGGCGCCCCTGTAGAGGAACGCACGCGGGTTTTGGAGAGAATTAAAGATAAATGCCTTTCACATTGCTTTGACATCAAGAAATGTAAAGTACGCTTGTTTCTGTTTTCTTTTTATTTTTTTGGTTTACATTATTTTAAGAAAGATGCTGTTTAGTGTTTGACTAGTTGAAAATCAAGGTATGATGTTTTGAACTTAATAAAGAATTCAAAACCTGGTAATAGCAACTGGCTTACCGGTTTGAAATGAAGTTTTGATGTGTGCACAACTAAAGTGGACTACAATTGTTAGTTTATTATTCAGAGTCCCGAGCTTGTAATATACATGGCATGATGTATTTTTTAAAACTTTCGAATGAATCAATTGTACATAATTTCTCGATGACTGGTTGTAATGAAATTTGTTTCTTGGATATTTTTCCCCTCTTGTACAATATTCAGACATTATTAACAGTATTTGTCTTTTCTTGGTCCTGTACAGTAGTATACAATGTCAAAAATGAAGCCTTTTTGAAGTATACAAAGTGTAATGGGTTTTTGGAGTTTGTGGAATCAGATTTAGGAACATTTACAAAAAAATAAATATTTTACATCTTTAACACTCATTTGTTTTTCCATCCTTAAGATGAGTTTCTTCAAGTGCAGAGTGAAGATGCTGGCAAGTTTAAGGGGAACTCCACTGATTTTGCAAAATTATTGATTTAGTGGTTTAGATAAAAACAAAATCATTCAGAGTGGTTTGGTGTGAAATGCATCTTTCTAGAGAAATTTAGTCAGAATTGTTCACCATTACAGTACTAGGAACCAGACGTCCAAAGCACTTAATGGCTCTAAAAGCTACATCCCAATTTCACACAAAATTGTTATAAATACTCTGCTCGATACCTGAGACATTGTTTTGTGAATTGTTGAAGTTTTGGCCTAAAACCTATTTTTTAATATAAACTATTACTTTACTTTAACTATTAATTTCTTCCGTGTTTCCTGTCAAAACTACATTCTCAACTGAGATCAATGTGCACAAACTAACATGGTTTTATAGTTACTAGCCTGTAGCTACATGGCTAACAGCAGCAGCAGCTTTTGGTTACGGATTATTTTTACAGTTTCTTACATATTTTGGAAGACGGCAGAGTATGTGGAGGACTTCAAGGAGGTCCAAAATTAATGTCATAGGGCCAAATCGATTTGAACCAGAATACACAAATGAGTTACGAGAGACAGAGAGAGAGACAGACAGACACACTGAACCTGCCAGTGCCGAAGAACAACCCAGGGCAAATGGAAACTGGTGGTGTCCACAACAAACTTCTTGCTGCTCTGCTTACCGGTTTATGAGGCAGGATAGAGAGGTAGATAGTTATTTTATTGTTTGAGACAGTCTGTAAGCTAATGGCTAACAGTGATATATGTATGGTGGCTAATGACGACTAATTTATTTCACTCACAAATGTTTCTCACCTTGATTCCAGTTTCTGTGGTGGAAAATACAACAGAGGGTACAGCAGATTTCTTTAGCAGCCACATTTGAAGAAATCTGCTTTGCATTTTTCACGGGTCTTGAGTCGTCTTCGATGGGTCTTAGTTCAGTCTGTAGAGTCGTTAGACTTTGGCATTTGTGTGGCTTCAAAACAATCAGCCACAACTTAAGGATTTTTGGTATTTGTAACGGCAGCCGAAGAAACCCGCACCATACCGTATTTTCTCCATTTATTTTTGCATCCTGGTACAGCACAGTTCACCACCACTCTGAACGATTAACCAAGGCGCATCTGTGATCTATTACAGCTCCTGTGATGAATAATTTTACTTACATCAGCTGTAAGTTTTGCTGACTCCGTGCGACGCCACGCTGCCAACCAAAACAACAAAAAAAATAGTACCCATATAATTTTTTTTTCCCCTCCCAAATTTAGTAGTATTTTACCATTATCAAGTTATATAACTTATAAGACACATGTAACTTCACTGGTCATTTTGGATAGCAGATTAAATGGTGACATTTGTAGTTTAGTCATAACGACGTCTGGTTCTTAAGCAAGTAACGTATAGGGTAACGCTGCTGCCCTCCACATGAAAGACTGGCATTCAGTTCCGTACCTGTGCAGGAACACCACGCTGTATCAATAAGACTTGGAACTGTTCACAGTGGTGGTGATGGGAACCAGACGTCTGAAGAGTTTAATGCCTCTAAAAGCTCCCTCAAATGCCCCCTGAAATGCTTATGAATACGCTGCCCAAAGAAAGCAGTGTTCTCCCCAAAGAATACTTATTTTTCAGGCTTACCACTTTTTTGTCAACATTACATTACAAATAAAAACCCAGAACACACTTGTAGGTTCACTGGTCATTTTGGGTAGTGTTTTTATGTGCATATTCAAGTGGGTAAAGTTAACCCAATAACCTGAAGCGCTTACATTTAGATGAGTTATGCCAACCAAGAAGCAACCAAATGTGACATCACAGCCACAAATAAGATAAAATAACCCTTTATTAGTCTCACAGTGAGGAAATTCACTGTGCTACAGCAGCAAAGGGATAGCAAGGCACTCAAGAGAAGAAGTAACAAGAGGAGAATTAAAGTATTTAAACTTGTTCATTTAACTCTGTTACAGTTTGTTACTTATTACTGCATAGACAATATATTAGAGTTGAAACGGTTACCGGTTTCACGGTAAACCGCGGTAAAATTAATGACGGTTAGTAGTACCGTTTGAACTTTAAAGTATCGTTAAAACCGCGGTCGATTACCGCGGTGTGAAAAACTCGGAGATTCGGAGATATTTCAGCCTTCTAAGAAGACCAAGTCTGACGTTTGGTCATGTTTTGGGTTTATAACGGTGCAGAAGGAAAGTTAATTGAAGATGACCACCCTGTCTGCAGAACAGGCCGAAAGAAACTAGCGGCGAAAGGGGGCAACACATCAAACCTTACGAGTCATCTTCGCGACCACCACCCGCTACTTGCAAGAATGCAAGGTTAACTTTAACGGAGAAGTCTGTGGGGACTTCGAAATAGAAGAAATGTCATGGTTTGTGTGGTTTAACTTATGTTTATGGTTCGTTAATAATATAAAATGAAGCTTTGAGTAAAAAAAAAAAACTGTGAATCGATACTAAAGCTTTTAACACATTTCTGTGGAGCAGAGTCTCCAAAATGAGCTCTGAGTTAACGAGACGCTGCAGAAGTTCAATCTGCACAGCTCCCCTTTCTCGTCTCGCTTGCAGTGTTTACTGTCTGAGAGGAGAATAACACCGTCTCAAATCACTCAGTGTCCCCTACAGAGGGCGCTACTGTTCAAACACGATCATCATTAACAAGCAGCTGAGTTTTAAATAGGGGATTTGTAACCTGTTGTTAATGTTGATTATAGATGACTTAGTCGAACGTTTCCTGCACTCTTTGGGTGAAGGATTTGCTATTTCATGATCCACGAAGTGCACTACATAGGGAAGATGATAGTGTGCTTTGAGACGGGACCTTGCGCGAGTAAACACTGTGTTTCAGAGATTAAACTTTAGGAGTGTTGCTGCCGCAGCTCAGATGCGCGTTAATTTATGTTTTAGTTTTAAAATGCTTTTAGAGAAGCAGCTCCACAGGTGGAGACACACTGTGTGAGTTCTACACTGTCTGCAGCTCACAGCGCGGTCTCGCAATTCCTCTGTGATTTTGGCTGTTTTTCCTGGTGCGCTGTGTTGATTAGGGGTTCAGCGCCACAACGGCACAATAATGCTGCAGTTGCAGTTCAGACAGAAATCCCCCGAGTGCAGCACTTCTTAGAAGTAGTAATTTTCCATTAAGACCCACCTCAGAGTTGGTCGAGATTTAATTCTCTATGCAGGGAAATCCCTAGTTATTGTAATTAATAATAATAATAATAACAATAATAATAATAATAATAACAATAATAATAATAATAATAAAATAATTACAACAGTAATAAGAATAATAACAGTAATAATAATACATTTGCTATTCTTTTGTTTACAGAGTATTACAAGTATTGTAAGTAACACAAAAGTAATACTAAAAATGTATTGACCTTATTTTTTATGTTTATGCAAACAAAAAGTGCATATTGCTGCCAATTCTATTTGTGTTAATATAAAAGTTGGTGAAACGAGTTTCAGTTTGTGTATCAGTATTTATTTTTTTATTTATTTTACTTTTCAACACATTTGAACAATATCGCGATAATACAGATAATCGTGATAATTTTGGTCATGATAATCGTGATATGAAATTTCAATATCGTTTCATCTCTACAATATATATAATACGAAAGATAAAAAAATAAAGATAAAAAAATAAAGTCTATCCTTCATAACTAGCAGTCTGTGTTAAAGCTTCAAGCCAGAAGAACTGGATTTGCTGGATCTTGACCAAAAAAAGCAGGCCTTGGCTTTATTTTATAGAAAACAACCCCAATACTGGTAAGAAAAATCACAATTAGATATTTTCTCAAAATCGTTCAGCCCTGCTTGACCCCTGGTTCCTATCACCACCACTGTAAAGAGTCTCTAAGTTTCTCTACAATTAATCATTTCACATCAAACCACTCTGAATGACTTTGCATTTCAGTGATTGAATTATGCAGAAATTC